GTCCTAGAGGACAAGGTTTACTCTGTCCAAAAGGACAAAGTTTACTCTGTCCTAGAGGACAAGCTATTTAATCAGTCTTAGAGGACAAGGTTTACTCCGTCCTAGAGGACAAGGTTTACTCCGTCCTAGAGAACAAGGTTTACTCTGTCCTAGAGGACAAGCTATTTAATCAGTCCTAGAGGACAAGGTTTACACAGTCCTATAGGACAAGGTTTAATCAATCCTAGAGAACAAGGTTTACTCTGTCCTAGAGGACAAGGTTTACTCCGTCCTAGAGGACACGGTTTACTTTGTCCTAGAGGACAAGGTTTACTTTGTCCTACAGGACAAGGTTTACTTTGTCCTCAGGACAAGGTTTACTTTGTCCTTCAGGACAAGATTTTCTCTCTCCTAGAGGACAAGGTTTAATCTGTCCTATAGAACAAGTTTAATCAGTCCTAAAGGAAAAGGTTTACTCTGTCCTAGAGGACAAGATTTACTTTGTCCTATAGGACAAGATTTTCTCTGTCCTTGAGAGGACAAGGTTTACTTTGTCCTACAGGACAAGGTTTACTTTGTCCTTCAGGACAAGATTTTCTCTCTCCTAGAGGACAAGGTTTAATCTGTCCTATAGAACAAGTTTAATCAGTCCTAAAGGAAAAGGTTTACTCTGTCCTAGAGGACAAGATTTACTTTGTCCTATAGGACAAGATTTTCTCTGTCCTTGAGAACACTAGGTTTACTCTGTCCTTTAGGACAAGGTTTAATCAGTCCTAGAGGACAAGGTTTACTCTGTTCTATAGGACAAGGTTTACTCAGTCCTAGAGGACAAGGTTTACTCTGTCCCATAGAACAAGGTTTACTCAGATTATTGGTTTTAAAGGGGATGGTGGAGTTGGCACATTTGATGTAGGGGGGGGGGCCTGCCTTCATTTTTGGTTCAAATCTTCCAATTTTTTGGGTGCACGCCTAATTAGGGTTCGAAATTTCTATAATAAAATCAAATTGAACTTTAATGACCTCTAATGACCTCTAATGACCTCTAATGACCTCCACAAATAGAAAATATTTCAACTATGGCTTAATGCATATCAAACGAAAGCTAGAAACTCAGGGAATCCAGTAGCAGCAACAAATCCAGTGTATGACCTTCTAATGACCTCTTACGACCTCTAAAACACGTGTAATGAATGCACAAAACACGTGTATAATGTATTGCTTAATGAAACATTTTGTGTATTAATGTATTACTTAATAAGGAAACATTTTGTGTATCAAATGTGCCAACTCCACCATCCCCTTCAGGTTAACTCTTTCTAAAAGGACAGCGCAGATTTTAAACCTTACAAATCATAAATAATCTTGAAATATTTAAATCCCCCCTTTTTCTCCAAGATAATATTATGCCCAATATATTTAATCTGATGACTCTTGACAGTTTGAATGGTTAAAGACAAAGTGTCGAATTTTACTAAAGGAATTGTAAGCGTATTTTCAAGTTACCCTCGATTTAAAAAGGGATATGACCAATTCACAAGAGTAACCTTCAGACCTTGATCTGATCAAGAATGTGGAATATAATCAGTTTTTAAAATTATAAACATGGATATCTAACTCATACTAGAGCAGTGAAAGCTATTTGTGTTGCCGTTGTGAATTAGTCCTGGCATTCTGTAACTGGAGAGCCACTTGAAATTACGTCCACACTCTACAGTTCCTTTCAGCTCATATGTAGACTTAACTGTGTTTCTATTTTCATTCCTCTTTTTGATTTTTCCTCAATTTTTTTAATTTTCAAAATCTATCTCTTTAATCTCTAAAACTATACCAAGGATTGTCAATCTAAACGCGAGGAAAATTGTTGAAGGGGTTCTTGATTTATATGATAGGACATACATAAACTACGAACAGACATGGATAGATGTAATTTTCTTCTGCGTACAGGAACAAGAAACCTAAACATATTCTTAAAATGTATTTTATTAAACGAAAATTTCTATTCAACTAAATATCAGCAAATTTAATTATTCAATCTGGAGTTTTGCTTTCTTCTGTTTCTTTTCCTTCTCATCTTTTGGCTTGGTTCGTTTCGCGGAGGACTTGGACATAGTTTGCTCTTTCAGGCTTTCAATTCCACGTTGAATGTCCTCTGAAGTGCTATCAAAGCTATCTGAAATACTCTCCGAAAGATTTTCTAAATTTTTCTGTGTTTTTCTAGGCTTTTAGCTAGTTGTTCTCTCTTTCAGACTCTTAACACTGGTTCGTATATTCTTGGCAGTGGTTTCCAATCCATCTGCAGTGTTTTCTAGGCTCTCAGCGACGCTTTCCTGCAAATCTTTTATAGCTTTCTGAGCTGGTTGTACTTTTTTAGTTGTGCTCTCTTTCAGACTCTTAACGCTGGTTTGAATATTCTTGGCAGTGGTTTCTAATCTATCAGCAGTGTCTTCTAGGCTCTTAGCGACGCTTTCCTGCAAACTGTTTAAATATTTCTGAGCTGGTTGTACTTTTTTAGTTGTGCTCTCTTTCAGACTCTTAACGCTGGTTTGAATATTCTTGGCAGTGCAGTGGTTTCTAATCTATCGGCAGTGTTTTCTAGGCTCTCAAAGACGCTCTCCTGCAAATTGTTTAAATATTTCTGAGCTGGTTGTACTTTTTTAGTTCTGCTCTTCAGACCTTTTGCGCTGCGTCGTATATTCTGGGCATTAGTTTCTAATCCATCTGCAGTGTTTTCTAGGCTCTCAGAGACGCTCTCCTGCAAATCTTTTAAAGATTTCTTGGCTGGTTTTATTTTCTTAGTGCTGCTCTTAATCTGGCCGTTAGCGCTGGTTTGGTCAGCAGAAGCCACTCTTTCCATTAAATTTCCCATTTTAATGCTAAAATCACGTCAATTTAGTACACACTAGCAAAAGAATGATCATTCAAATGAAGTTTGTGGATTTTTAGAAATATTTCGTTGATTTTTACAAGTTTATTTCAGGATTTCTAGTTTAAAAAAATAAATTCTGCTCATTTATCATTGTGATTGGGGATAATTATTAGTGCTCTGGAGAAAATTTGAAAGATTTTTTTCAAAAGGCAAGCTTTTTCAACCGTATTGATAGAGGGAGGGAATGCAGAGCATCCATGAGCCCCGCAAGACTGACCTCCGGAGCCTCCTGATTTGCAGAATGGCATCCAAGCTAACTCTTAGCCAATCAAAATCGTCTCCGAGCCTCATGCTACGTCTGCCAGGGTATCCAGCTCCGTCTCCACGTCCAACCCGATATCCAAAAATATATATTTGGCTTTTACATCCACCAAAAGCCTTTTTTTCAAAAAATCTTAACATGACCATAAAGTTTTTAATGGTACATAAACAATTTGTATTGAAAAGTCTACTTTTACCGAGATTTAAATTTCTTATTTTGTTTTTCTAGATTTCACAAATTCTTAAAATGGTGCAGAACTATTCAAGCTTTATATAAAGAAAGACAAATTTTTATATCATTCCACAGGTGCATCATGTACGAATTTGATTAGACTACCACCATTTCACAATACATAATAGTTTTTGAGAAATACTTAAATTTGTGCTTTTACTGTATTTCATTTTTGCTGGGCTCATGGATGCTCTGTACCCCCTCCCTCATTGAGACTTGCTTCAAAACTTCATTTATTTATCCAAACTCAGTGATTAAAACCCTAAAAATAAATATGTGTTTGGTCCTAACAAGCTTTCTCCCCTTGAGACTCAACTCAGTATTATTTAGAGGGGTTGACTGTTGAGTGATGGTATAGAGAGTCTTCTGTTCTCAGAAATAAAAACCTAAAATACACATCAATGTATTACTTAATAAGGAAACATTTAGTGTAATAATGTATTGCTTAATAAGCAAACGTTTTGTTTACCAATGTGTTGCTTAAAAAGAAAACATTTTGTGTATTAATGTATTTCTTAATTCGGAAATATTTTGTGTATTAATGTATTGCTTAATAAGCAAACATTTTCTGTATTAATGCATTGCTTAATGAAACATTTTGTGTATTAATGTATTGCTTAAAAAGAAAACATTTTGTGTATTAATGTATTGCTTAATAAGGAAACATTTTGTGTATTAATGTATTGCTTAAAAAGAAAACATTTTGTGTATCAATGTATTGCTTAATAAGGAAACATTTTGTGTATTAATGTATTGCTTAAAAAGAAAACATTTTGTGTATCAATGTATTGCTTAATAAGGAAACATTTTGTGTAATAATGTATTGCTTAATTAACAAACATTTTGTGCAATAATGTATTGCTTAATAAGCAAACATTTTGTGTATAAATGTATTGCTTAATTAGCAAACATTTTGTGTATAAATGTATTGCTTAATTAGCAAACATTTTAATCGCATTCAAAAACATATTCTCATTCTAAATATATCAGGGCAGCGACAAATCAATGATTAGTGCATGCAAATGCGCTAAGATCGATGGTTAGAAGCTCTATTAATTTTGAAGACCATAAGCAGCATTAAATTGTCATTTAATTCATATATTTACAAGCTATAAAACCTTGTTTTATTCTAAATCTCTGGCCGTGCATTTATTATAATCTGGACTGTTAGTCCCCATGGCTTAGTATTATTCACTTGGCGTATAACGTACTTTATGTCTACTATATAGTCCCCTAATTGAAGGTCTGTGTAGTAATAAGCATGGTAAGTAGTTCCTGGAAGTGATTTTCTTTAATCTGTCCAGAATCCATAAATAGTCTTTCTGTAGTCCATCTGTCCTTGTTTGCAGGTAAGGACGCTATCTCTGTTCTTCTAATATAGTCTGATTCAATCCTTATTACTTCTTGATATTCTTTATATGAATATATATATAATATTCTTATAGGTTGTCCTTGACCTCCCTAAAGCCTGCCTTAATTTTATTTTATTATAGAACGAGTAAATATTTAGAAATATCTACACTAACTCTATCCTATGGGAGAATAATTATAAATCTAATCTTGAACATTTCTTGAACGTACTATCGTCTATCGTAGAAGAAAAAAACTACAAATTTATTTATTCGTTGCAATAAGAACAAATACATATTCCGAATATTAACAATATGTACACTATTAAACTTACAGGGTAAAAAATATGTTCACTGAATACATGGTAACCCAAACTTACAATTTTTTTTCAAAAACTGCACAATGAGCCATTTTTAGCGAAAACCCTACAAAACATCCCCCCCCCCCCCCTCCTTTTCACCGTACTGTCTCATAGAGTTTGCTGAAAACTGGAAACCTGGTTTGAGAATAATTAAATTATCTTGTTTAAGTCTACAACGGACTATATAATATATTAAAAGGTTAAAACAAACATAGAACCAGGCTTACAAACTACAATACGGAGAGGAAGGGGGGGGGGGATGAAACTAGAAGAAGGATCAAGGGGGGTAACTTTAAATCTTGGAGGGGACAGAAATGAAAAAGTCAGATGTAGAGAATTTTAGCTAGAAATAAGAGGGGGAGGGAGGGGAAGATGTTCTAAATGTAATAGGGATTTAGCATGCAAAATAAAGAAGGGGGGTCGCAGTAATCATGAGTCAGAAAGAATGTTTCATTTATATTTTAACACTTTAAGATCTACAGTAAAACCCAGATCAGGTGTCAATTAGAGAATTTTCAAGAGTTTAGTTCTTTTGCACATTCATAAAATAGGTTAAATACACAAATGTAACTAAACAAAATGGAATCAAGAAATCATTGTGTACAATTTTACATTGCTTCTCTATACAAATTCAAAATAAAATAGATTTTTATTTATTGCAACGATTTAATCTTAATAGAATATTTAGTTTTCAAGATTTTCTTCTTGTGTTTGTAATGTGACGGCATTTAATGTTCTTTAATTTGTTTCTAATTCTAAAATTTGTTGGTCTAGTTTTTGTTTAATCGGTTTAACCATTTTAATCTGGTTTCATGTGATTGATTCAGTCAGATATACAGTAGAACCACTTATAATTTATCAGCCAACTTTGTCGTCAGAGCGCAAATTTGATCACGAAATCAAACATGGGCATTTTACAATTAATGCACAAAAACATGTAATTAAAGAACAGAAGACGAGTAGGTAATGCAAAAACAAGTGTAATGAATGCACAAACGCGTGTAATGAATGCACAAAACACGTGTTATGAATGCACAAAACATGTGTAATGAATGCACAAAACACGTGTAATGAATGCACAAAACACGTGTAATGAATGCACAAAACAGTGTAATGAATGCACAAATCGCGTGTAATGAATGCAAAAAACAAATGAATAACTCCACAAAGTTTCCTAATTCCCTTGTTCTTTCTCTCACTGATAAAGCCCGACGTAGTTTCCCTGAAAAAAAATTAGGTTAAAATTCTGATATCCGGAAAATTCCAAACATTTATTTGATATCAACACTTTCTATAATTAACTCTAAACAATTGTAAAAACCTGCCTGAAACTAAACCAGAAGCAAAGCATATATTTGTTTTAACAACCAATCCTAATATACGACCCCCCCCCCCCCCCCCCCCCGCCACAACCATGTTTTATAACAATGCTAGATAATTCACAATAATGCAATCGGTATTCCTCCTCACTGCACACTCCACAAATTTTACCCACACTTCACCTTCCAATTAGGACAACTTCTATATACTCCCCCCCCCCCAAATTTTTTTTTCAAAAATAATAGGTAACCACATCAATCCACCGGAGTACATTTGTATATCCGAGCTGGGTCAACCTTTGCAGTCCTACTTTGGATTGTATCCGCTAATTTACACTTACTGAAGCGACAGAGGAGTGTGAACGCATATCCAAATGTTTTTCTTCCACAACTTCTATAAACTCCGCACTCCCCCCCACCCGCAACCCTGTTTATTCAACAATGCCAACTATAAGAAACAACATTTCAACGCTAACCTCTCTACCACACTCGATTTACAAATGTTTTTCCCCAAAAATCCTACCCAACCACAATCCATCCAATTAGGAAACCTTCAATTATTATCATTATTAATATTAATCAACCTACAGTCAAAGTATCATGTCCTATAGATAGGCAACGTTACGTTTAGCTCTAGAGTCGAGCTCCAGCCACTTACCCTTGTCTGCTTGGGTTTATAATGGATCATTTCTGGTTTCATTTTTTAGTATTCAGTGTGTAATGAATATGCCAGATAAGTAAGGAGGTCTAAAATGCTTTAAATAGCATTGTTAAATAGTACACACGTTTGTTTGAGAACAATATGTGTTTAAAAAAAAACATTAACAATTTGAATTTTACTAGGAGGGGCCATCAAATAAAACATTAACGAGAATGTTCTTTATACTTTTTTTTAGGCCAACACACTAGGCGTACACCCGCCTGCCTTACCATCTGTTGGTTCTGTAGAGGTCCTCCTGCAGCAAAGAGTCTAGTACCACTTACATCGTAACAATGTGTATAGATAGCTGGAGTATACTTGTTGGGCTGATATGCGTCCATGAAGGAATCGTTACGTTCCTGAAATATTTTAAGTTTATTAGATAAGTTTTTTTTAAAAAGAAGTAGGAATTTTGCGCATTTACATCGTATATAGGTCAAATCGGTTCAGTCGTTTTGTCCTTTGTTATATACAAACAAAGAAACCAACAAACAAACATTTAACATGTCATTTTCTTCATATGTAACTATCTTTTTGGGTTGTCAAAAAGAGGTGAGTTGGTCATAAGAGGGTAAGGGTGATTAGAATTGAAGAAAGATAACAAGGTTAGGTTAGGTTAGTTCTTATTTCGTTCTGAATTTGGAAAGGTAAATAATGGTATATATCACAGTGGTATGCAATTATATCAATACAATGAAGACGACTTTTTATTTAAGTTTTGATTGTTATCAAGCATTTTTCGAATTACAAGTTTACAAGCAATCAAACTTAAGCTTTTTTAATTGACAGCTTCTCTTGACTTCTATGTCTATGCTAAAGATCATACTAAGCCAAGAGTTTAGGGGGGCCAAGGATGGTGGCCTGGGGCTACAGAATACTACGGGTTCTGATATCCCTACACCCCGGTACGCTTGCATCCAGGGTTAAAAAAATAGTACATGTCTTAAGCGGACTAACCAGATTCCCTCAGGCGTGAAGATTACACGTATCATTAGTGGGAGTGCTGAGGGGTGGGATTGCCTGGGGCCAGGAACAACCCCAGCAATTCTCTTTAAATAAATAAATAAATAAATGTTTATGTGTATTCATGCTGTTTAACAGCTTGATAAAAATAAAAATTAAATTTCAAAGTAGTCTTTATTGTATTGATATAATCGCCTACCACTGTAGGATAAAAATATAATTAAGTACTTACCACCCAGCCCCTGCCTGCTTTAAGCTGAACTGCCCGATTGCTGTTCATGGTCGATTCTAAAAACTTGCATGCTCTGAGATCCCAGAACAGGAGCAATCCGGTTCCTGTTCCCAGAGTCAGTATATTCCCCTTGAAGGAAACTGATCTGATTCCGCATCCGGAACTCCGACTAGAGATCTTACGGACAGACTAAACATATTTTAAATATACAATAATTTCAAAATTGTTGAATTCCAGTGAGAATCAAGCTTAAAAAACTAAATCTGACAGAGCTGAAAACTTTATAATTGGATACCTTAAATCCCGATCTCTTAATCTGAATATCCAATGTGGACACTTTTAATTTCGTTCTACATCCTCTCTTTTTCTTTCTTTTTCTATCCCTGCTAGTTTCTTACTAATGAAAGTTCACTCATTAAATGGCGCGCAAAGTTTCAAATTTCCCGGCTTCTCTGATTGGCTGTTCTGGTTTCTCCAAACCCCACTCGATTGGTTGAGTTATATGCACTTTTGCTGATGAAAACTTAAGATTAAATTAATCTTGAAATTAACAAAAAGAGAAGATCAGGCATTGATCTCGATATCCACAATTCTAAGTTTTCAGCTCAGATCGGACATCTAGAATATCATGAGACATTTTAACAATAAAATTTTGAGACTCCCTGTTAAAGAGTTACGGTCTTCTTAAATTCCGGACTTTTTCAGCTTAAATAATAAATTTCTTACCCAAAAATATGGTAAAACAAACCTGTAAAGTTCTGGAATCTAAAAGGTCTGCATGAGATTTGCTTCCAACTGCATAAAGTTGATATTCTTCATCAGTAGTAAGACAACAGTTCTCCAATGTGTGGGGGAGCTTCTTGGACATTATCTGAATAATTTTAATTGAAAGAAAAATATTAAACAAAATTTTTAAAATTCATTAAAAAAATATGGATCAGAAAATAAAAAATTTAAACATTTCTACCTGTTTCATTGTTACAGCATTCCAACAATGAATAAAGCTGTTGAGCGATATCACAGCAATTTCCTGCGCGCATCCGTTGTAGCAGAGCGCCCGAACCTTGTCCGCCTGCTTGCACTTCTTAGTGAGGAGGGGGGACATGTACTGGTGGACGGGGATATCAGCTTCAGTTACCTTCAATAAACAGATTCTTAAAGATGTTATAAGTGTACCTTTATCCCGTAATAGTTCACAAGGATACTTGGGATGTGCTTTTTAATGAAAATATTGCATTTTCAAACACTGCTGTTAACAATGGTAAAAAATTACTCCCCCACAAGTGCCCCTTAAATATCGCTGGCTTTCGAGGTTAAAAATTTCCCATTAAATTATTAACAAAAAACTTAAGGGGTAAATAAATAGAAATCAGTAGTTCTCCTGTTTTTTACCTCTTCAATAATCTGATCCGTGACCCGCCAGAGAGATATTGATCCATCTCTAGATCCTGATACTAGAAACTGATCATCTATCCAGGTCTGGTCAAATATCCAATCCTTGTGTCCAAATTGTCCAACACAGATAGGGTCCAAGGTGGGTAGTCTAAAAAATAGTCGTGCAAAGAATGAACAGGATAAACAGGATAAACAGGATGAACAGGATGAACAGGATGAACAGGATGAACAGGATGAGTAAGATAAGCAAGATGAGCAAGATGAGCAAGATGAGCAAGATGAGCAAGATAAGCAAGATGAACGAGATGAACAGGATACACTAGATTAACTAGATGAACAGGATGAACAGGATGAACAGAATGAACAGGATGAACAGGATGAACAGGATGAACAGGATGAACAGGATGAACAGGATGAGTAAGATAAGCAAGATGAGCAAGATGAGCAACAGGATAAACAGGATAAACAGGATAAAGAGGATAAACAGGATAAACAGGATAAACAGGATAAACAGGATAAACAGGATAAACAGGATAAATAGGATAAACAGGATGAACAGGATGAACAGAATGAACTGGATGACCAGGATAAACAGGATAAACAGGATAAACAGGATAAACAGGATAAACAGGATAAACAGGATGAACAGGATGAGTAAGATAAGCAAGATGAGCAAGATGAGCAAGATGAACGAGATGAACAGGATACACTAGATTAACTAGATGAACAGGATGAACAGGATGAACAGGATGAACAGGATGAACAGGATGAACAGGATGAACAGGATGAACAGGATAAACAGGATAAAGAGGATAAACAGGATAAACAGGATAAACAGGATAAACAGGATAAACAGGATAAACACGATAAATAGGATAAACAGGATGAACAGGATGAACAGAATGAACTGGATGACCAGGTTGAACGGGCTGAACTGGACGATCAGGATGAACAAGATAAACTAGATGAACAGGATGAACAGGATGAACAAGATAAACTAGATGAACAGGATAAACAGGATAAACAGGATAAACAGGATAAACAGGATGAACAGGATAAACAGGATAAACAGGATGAACAGGATGAACAGGATGAACAGGATGAACAGGATGAACAGGATGAACAAGATGAACAGGATGAACAGGATGAACAGGATGAACATAATATAAAGAATGGAAAAGATGAACATCATGGATATATTGAAACAAGAGATTTGAACCTACCTATAAACAGCAACATCGTTACTATTACTAGCTCCTGTAGAAAGTAAGGTTCTGCTAGGATTGATCTCTATACTATTAATCCCTCTCTCCAGGTCTGGTGGAACACTGGTCTCACTGGACTGCAGGGAGGGGATATGATCAATCTTCTTCGTGCTCACATCCATCACAACCAACTAGATAAAGAGACAGGTTTAAAGGGAGTAGTTAGGGTGTAAAGTCGTGTCAGATCAGCTGATGAGTGACAATATGAGTTAAATTCATTTCTTCTCGCTGGGAGATGAACAGAGGTCGGAATATTGTCAATCTTTATAGTTTAATCTCAGTATCCAATGTAGGCATTTTTAAATTTGGAGATCAATGCTTTATTTTTGACTTGAGATATCTCATTGGTCAACGTTACATGGATTCGACTAATAACAGATAGGCTTAATTTAACCGATTTCTCGAACGGCCATAATTTCGAGGATTTGACGAATTTGAGATCTGACAAGTAACGCTTTAAATTGAGTCACGTAATACTAGGAGGCAGGGGGGGGGGGAGGTGGCAAGTCCAATTAAAATGTAAAATGTATTCTATGTTGTTGGTAAGTAATTTTAAGTTTGACATGCAAATTTAATTATATCATTCTTAAGAAAGATAAAATCTCAATTCGCCAATAAACTCACTTAATACTTTTAAAAATTTAGATTAGAAAAATGCCATTATCTATTTTTTCTTCGTTAGATATTTGATAAAAGTTAGACAGGGGCGCTTACTAAATATTTCTACTGAATAACCCCTGAATTTAGCTCTGAGTGTTTAATATTTATTTCACCTTATTACACTTTGTTCCGAAGATAACCTGTTTATGGCTCAACCATTGTGAACAGAACACCTTGAAAATATTATTGAATTATGGTTAAAGAACAATTAATATTTATTTGAATACACAATTTGGAGATTATATAAATTCAACTGGCACGGTGGTTGGTCTATTAATACACAAATTCCACTCCTTATACAATATATGTTTTAATTCTACAGGGTGCCTTATACATTTTATGTTCAAATTCTACAGGGTGCCTTACACAGTTTATGTTCAAATTCTACAGGGTGCCTTATACATTTTCTGTTCAAATTATACAGGGTAACTTATACATTTTATGTTCAAATTCTACAGGGTGCCTTACACAGTTTGTTAAAATTATACAGGGTGCCTTTTACAATATAAGTTTAAACTCTACGGTGAACAATAGATGTTTTCATAGGCGGTTCCGGGGTCAGGCAACAGTTCATTAGCCCCCCCCCTCCCCTGAGTAAAATCATGTTGTGTTGTACCGTGTACCCCACACTACTTTTCTTTAGTCTAATCAACCAATTTACTCCGTACAGATTCAACATTAAACAGAAACAGAAACATTTAGCTTAAATGATGAAAATGCATGTGCTCATGAGGACTCTTTGTGACCATATAAANGATGGGGGGAATTGTACTACATTTTTGCACCACCTTACAGGGGAAAAGGGTGGAAATCCTTGCATTTTTAGATTTTTAATTGCACTTTTCCTTGCAAAACAGGGTGTGTGCAAATTGAGGTATTCAAGAGGGGGGGGGGTGTTAACAGTGTATTTATAATCCAAATGGTTGTACTTAAAAAATTAAGAATATTATAAATGGTATGCAGGTTTCAAACAATATATGTATAAAATCTATTGTACATAACAAAACACAAATTCAACGTATTGCATTCTTAAATGCATTGATTTACAGGAAATATTGAAATTCTTGATGAATGACTAAGAGTGTATTAATTGTAAGTTTTGTTTTAAGCTTTAAAAAATGTGGTCTTCCTTCTCGATATTATATTTAAAATTGAAGGATTTTAAATTTTAATTAACTTGGACAAAATCCTCAATATCTCCTTAATCAATAATCATTAAAGTGAAAGAATGGTAGACCACTTATACAGAGTTTTATAGTTTTAAGATTTTGTTTTATTTGGTTCAGCCGTTTGGCCAGCTATAGCAAAAAAAACATTTTGGCTAAGAGCTTTATTAATATATATTATACATACATAATATGATCTCACCTTGTTCATGTTCCCAATCTTAATTTCATGTTCTTTAAGCATAGAGTTACTAAGCATATGCCTAGTACCGTATTCACTAGACAGCTTCATCGTTTGAAATTTCCTGAAATTAAAATTTGTAAAACATGAGATCCAATTATAGGCATTATGGAATTGTTTTATGGACTGCTTTTTTTTCTCATAAAAAAATATATTCTGAGCAGGCACCAAACTTGGCTCTGGTGCGCACACCTGACAATTTCATCATAGATTGCTTAAATTTCTAGGATTTGCCCATGAAGATATTATACAACTTTTCATACTCTTAAATATTTGCTCCGCGCGCCCTAAGTTCCTACTTTGATGCGCGCGCACTGCATTTTCAGTTTTTATCCTAGCCTACTGCAATTTTAAAGAAACAGAACTGGCAGATTTGTTTGTGTAAATGAAAAATGGTTTTTAAATCCATGACTGGAAGTCTAAATTTGAAGGAAGTGAATTTTTACCAACATTTTGCAATTTTTCTCTCTCAAAATCTGCTTATTTTCGCAAGGCCAAAATTTTTAATTTCAAAGTTTAATATCCATGTTTTGCTAATCAATTATGTGCAGAATTTTCCCCATAATTTTAAAAATAAGTTTTTAAAAAATTTTCGTCAGAAATAGATTTTTTTATTCACTTCATAATTTCATCCAAACTTGCTTATATAAAATTAGCTTTTTTGACGACCTGACTCCAAGAAGCTATATTTCTTAATAGTTCTGTTTATAAAGAAGACACTTCGAAAAATGCTTTAACTCAGAACTTAATCTGGTAATTTGGGCGGCTTAAGTCTTCCTCCCCCCGTACATCCTTGAAATCATCTCTGGATTGTTCAGCAGATTGACCCATCCAACATCTCAGAACAAAACCCTTCAGCTTATAACTTAAAATTTCCCTTTCATATCTAACATTTAAACTTTGTTTTACAGGATCTTGTATTTTGATTTTGGTTTCAACAATAACTCTGACTGATATCCTTTTTTTCCAGAAAAATATATTTATTTTTATTTTTTCATTTTTGGAGACATGACATTTTTGAATTTTTCACATGCCTGGGCACATAGAGCATTTGCTTACCTGTGGTCCCCTCGCTGCCTATTCATCATACAGTCGACGAAGTTGCAGGATATATCGTAGGAGTTCTCCGTTGCTGCAACAGCATCTTCATCCTCAGACTCATCGTCGTAGTAAATAAAATCCAAACTCTGAACCAGGCAAACATCTTTAAATATTCTTGACCCGTATTTCATAAAATTATGGATTGTTTGCTAATCAGTGTGTATCCGAACCTCCCAGAGGAAGGGTGTCAGCAGAGCTTTCTAAGCCTGTTAAGAGAAAGGGCGCTATGTGCGTTGTACTTGTATAGAAGTCTAGATAGCAAGGACAATTTTCTTCTCTTCTCTCTCCACAACTGAGTAGAAAGAGTGACTAATCCCGAACAAGATAAAGTAATAAAGATGAATACAGAAGCAATACAGAAACTCAAAACATTAGGGATCTCAAGAGCTGATATTAAAATACTACAAATTGCCTGATCAGCATCTCAAAACTGCATATTAACCCTCCTGGGGGGGGCGGGGGTATGCAGCTAATTGAACGAGCATTACAGGACAGCCAGGAAACAAGAAGATTGGAAACATGATTATCTGCATTCTGCATTAAATACATGTATCAAATAATTTGTTTCATAAAAAAAAAAATTAAAAAATAAATAAATTGATAAAATTAAAAATGGATTGTTTGCTAATAATAATAACTAGCTGAAGGTCCCGGTGTAGCCCGCGGAATAAAAAATTCTAATGTTGAATAAAAAATTAGTGTTTGGATTTTTTTATTTTGAATAAAAAATTGAATTTTTAAAGCCTAGTTAGTACCCATGGGTTGCCTAAAAAAATGTCAAACAATTTGGTCCAGCCATAGCTAACATATTATATCTACGAGGTGAATCTATTCAAGGATGCAAGTGACAGTGTAATTTCTTTAATTTTTGGAGAATTTCCGCGACTAATAGCTTATTGGAAAGGTATAGTTGGTGTTAGTGTTTGATCGCATTATAAACAAATCTGCTGATTAAAAAACATAGTCTTCCACCGGCAATTGATTAAGTAGAACCAAATCAGGGTACCCCACCCAGTAAGTGTAAGAGCCATGCCAGCTAGGGCGACCCTGTAAAACTTGTTCAGAGGTGCTCTTTTTCTTAAAAATAGAAATATATGAAGAAAAATCAAATAAAAAATTTTGACTAGTATTTTTGGAGCCGCCAAAAGATTTCTCGGCCATTTTTGAACATTTTTTACTTTGAGTGTTAAAATGTTCGCTAAATCCTCAGTTTTCAATTTAGAATGATGTTTACTTACTTGCTTACTTAGTACTCAGGGAGACATTATTATTGGTCCCTCCTCAAAAAAAAAACATGGGTATGGGCAACATTTTTTTGGCGGGTTTTATCATTGCAATTTGAATATATATTTTAAAGAATTACCCTCCCAAGGGGGAAAGTGGGGAGAGTGACCCCCCCCCCCTTCCAGTGAACTGAGGTAAGTTGGGGGAATGAAACAAATTTGACATTAACTGGCAAGATTTCCCCCCCTTCAAGATACTTTTTACTCAATAAACCATTTATTATTTCCAACTTAGATGTTTTCTTCTAGACAAATATAAACCCCTGACTACTTTAAATATAACAAGAGAAAAATTTCTCAACAGTTGTGATGATTAACAGAAACTAAATAATTTAGTATTGAAACCTTCCAATTTTGTTGGTATGGAAATAAAAGTTAAGCAACATTTGGTACAAAGTGCAAAAATGAAGAAAAAAATCGTAAATTTCTATTATTTTGTACTGTACTGTACTGTACTGTAATGTACTGTACTGTACTGTACAGTACTGTACTGTACTGTAGTGTACTGTACTTTACTGAACTGTAATGCACTGTACTGTACTGTACTGTAATGTACTGTACTGTACTGTACAGTACTGTACTGTACAGTACAGTACAGTACTGTACTGTACTGTACTGTTCTGTACTGTACTGTACTGTAGTGTACTGTACTTTACTGAACTGTAATGCACTGTACTGTACTGTACTGTATTGTACTGTACTGTACTGTACTTTACTGTACTGTACTGTACTGTTCTGTACTGTACGTACTGTACTGTACTGTACTGTACTGTACTGTACTGTACTGTACTGTACTGTACTGTACTGTACTGTACTGTACTGTAGTGTACTGTACTTTACTGAACTGTAATGCACTGTACTGTACTGTACTGTACTGTTCTGTACTGTACTGTACTGTTTTCTAAGGATGAATGTTAATAGAAAGTTAAATATTTAAAGAATTATTAAAGATGATGTTTCCTTGTTGTCTTGTGTACTAGCTGAAGCAGAGTTCTGGCGGTAGTGAGCTTTACTAGTAACAATTTTACTAGGTATAGATCTAGTTCCATGTCCCTCTACAGGTCTTCGTCTAGATTATACATATTAGTAAGTTTATCTAGTTTACTTCGTCTAGATTATACATATTATTAAGTTTATCTAGTTTACTTCGTCTAGATTATCCATATTAAAGTTTATCTAGTTTACTTCGTCTAGATTATACATAATAGTAAGTTTATCTAGTTTACTTTGTCTAGGTCATACATATCAGTAAGTTTATCTAGTTTACTTTGTCTAGATTATACATAATAGTGAGTTTATCTGGTTTACTTTGTCTATATCGTCTTATTAGGTATATTAGCCACAGGTGTCTACGTCATCATTTTGTGTAGTCAATTGTTAGAAATAGTATGGAATTCCTTTGTGTAACAACCATTATCTATTAAATTCTAAAAATATATATATTTGAAATATTTGCAAACATATCCAAATATTGACAACAATATTATTAAAATACTGAACAAATATAATATTTTTATAAATAGAATAGATTAGGCATCTGAGTATGGGAAACGAAGATAAAATTAATTTTAATAAATTTCACTGGCTATTATGAAGGGGACCGGGGGCTGGTGAGGGAGGGAACCCCCGGACGCCATGAGCCTCCGCTATGCAGACAAGAGCCTCCAATATTTGCTAGACAGACCGAGCCTCCGTCATGCATTAAGAGCCTAGGCTATAGTAAACGAGCCTCCGATATACAGAATAGTTTCCTTAAAATTCTAGGTTTTTACATGTACTAAAGATTTTTTTGTATTTTTATCATAATCAATTTTTATGAATAGTGACTAATGATGACTATTAAATGGTTTATAAAACTTGAAACATTGTTTACGCATAAAGGAAAACATTAGGAGAAAAAATTCTGAAAGAAATTTTATTTTATATTTTATAATCTTCTTATATTTTATTTTATATTTTATAATCTTTGATTCAAGCGATACTTTTTAAAAATTTTTATCAGATTAAGATAATCAAAAATTTGACATTTACAAATAATCTGAATCTAAGAAAGATTCCCTGAAAAGGTATTGCTTAAATCAAAGATTAAATTAATTCCAAAATGAACTTCCAAATAGCCTCCTTACTGCGTAAGAAATGTTTTATTGTAAAACATAAATCTTGTAAACTACTTTATGAGTCAATATAAGTTACAAATCATGACAATCAATAAACAACATTAATCTTAAGTATAATTCTTGTGCCACTAGGTTGAAAAAAAGAAAAAAAATCTTTATTACATGTAAAAACAAAGAGTTATAAGGAATCTGTGCTGTATAATGTAGGCTCGTTTACCGCATAGCGGAGGCTCGGTCTGCCTTAAAAATCTGGGAGGCTCGTGTCTGCATAGCAGAGGCTCATGGCGTCCAGAGATTCCCTCCCTCGGCTGGTAGTGCAAATTTTCGTAACTATTCAATTAGTTTTGCTATATTAAAATTGAAAAAATGCCGTCGCAACTTTGAACAAAGAAACTTGTTGTTTAAAGGCACAGAAAAGCAAGAAAACGGCCGAAATTTTTGCCCAGTTTTGCTGAGAAAATTTAAGTTAGTCAATCTGTAAAAAAGATTTTATAAAGTCAAAGAAAAAAATTAGTAATTAAAGTTTTAACCTGACATAAGCCAGCTCTCTGAGGTTGGTTGATTCCTTATTGGTTTCCATTCTGTTCTGTAGAATTGAACCAGACGCCATTATTTGGAGACTCTTACCATCTTATAGTTGTACAATTGTACACAGTCGAGGTTTACAGTTGAGGTGTACACCGTACAATATCTGAAATATTTGAACATCGCAGGATAAATTCCTGGAGGAACGAAAAATAGGCGGAGAAACGATTGAATGTTTGTAACAATGCCGGGCATAGATCAAAATCAATAGATCATTATTCCTTGTTCATTAATCAATGGCATATGTTAAATGATGAAAACCATGATCATAGATCGATGAGGAACTTTTTATGTTTAATGAAATTAGGCCATTGATTAATTAGCACATACTGATAAAAAACCAATGGCAAAATATAATTTCAATCAATCATTGATCATAGGAAAGATTTAAAAAATTCAAAAATTAAAAAAAGATCATGAAACCATCATTGTTCGAAATAATGAGGCAGGATTCGGACTCTGTTTTAACACTTGGAACAACTTCAACGGATTCTTTGTTTGTGGTGTTGAAACCAGTTTTGTGGAGGGGGGTGGAATATCGTTGAAGCAAACTATTGAGGCAAGTAACTGTCGGTCTCCTTGGTTTAGAGCAGGGAAGGATCCATCAAGGAAGGAATGAAGAGCGGAGTGTAGCTCAGGACGGAGACATGATTTATCTACCAGGGAGTTAATACGCTGGAGCAGGGAGATGACAAGTTCAGGTTCTAGGTTCAGATTTCTCCTCTCAATCCGTCTTATGTTCAGGATAGATCGGAGCTGATGGGAAACCAGTCCGACTCTTTGGGAACTGAAAAAAGTAAAAATATTCTTATTTGATTAAATGCGTATTCAAAGAGAATATTAATTTGTTCAGAATGTAAGAAATACCACTTATTTTGTATTAAAAAGAACCGAGTCATTATCATTCGAAAAATATTTGAAAACGTACAGAGAGCATTTTCTAAAAACAATTGTTTTGAAAATACGCTGAAAAACTCAATATTTATTATTATTATTTATTTCGTAAACGTACACAATTTAAATAATTGGTACAATTAAACAGAAGAAAAAAGAACTATAAAAGTATATATCAAAAATGAATACAAATACAAGAAACAAAATCATACTGTAATTCGGTCGTGCATATCTTATTGTTTTTTGCAGAAATTAGTTCATTTAAAAATGGAATCCTCCATTCTTCTTCCAAGGGTATTTCTTGAAATATCATACAATTTTTTGCAATACGTTTGTCGATAATATTCAAATCTTTGTTGCATTTGTCTGCAATATTTCTCAGATTTTTTTCAGTTACTGACCTTTGATCAAATTTTTGACGAATTTTCTAATGAAGAAATGAAAGAAACAAATCTACTGCAGAACATGGTCATTAAATGAGATGACTGTGACAATGGTTCGATAAAATATCTATGACAAGTGTTTGGTAATTTATACACAATTCTAAGGAAAAATACTCAATTCCCAAAATAAAAAATGCAAAATATTAATAATAAATATAAAATCCAATTTTATGAAAAATATTCTAACAAATCTTATAAAATTAAGTGGAATGTTAGGGAAAAATAAAGGGGTTTATACTGATCTGTAATTGATTTATAAATGGGATAAGCGTTAGTTTTATTTCTTTCTCCTGTTTTGTAATCAAAAATTTGATAAGTCGCCAGAGACAAACTGGTATATAAGTCGTCGGAGGTATATACCAAATTCTCTTTTAATAAACATTGGAGATAATTCCCTCGATTCTTCCGCCATTTTGGAAAAACTTACGAAATATTCTTTTGAATAACTACTCTAAAAATAAGTTTGAGTAACTTTGAAAAAAAACGTCACAGAAGAATTCAAATTAAAAAACAAACTTTTTAAAATCCATTAGTAATAAAATGGAGGTGAAAATTTTTAAAAAATAAATAAAAGATATTTCAACTTTTAGAAAAATAATATTTTTTCAAATATTTAAAAAAAAGATATTATTCGTAATTTTATTATTAAAAAAAACTATCAAGTCAAAGGTCAATATGAAACTCTTAGGACTCTACTACTCGAAATTTTTTTAGTTTTTTAGATATAATAAAACTTACCTGAGTAGGTTAGGAAGAGAGATTAGGCAATAAAACTTACCCGAGCAGATTAGGTAGAGAGATTAGGCAATAAATCTTACCCGAGTAGGTTAGGTAGAGAGATTAGGCAATACAACTTACCTGAGTAGGTTAGGTAAAGAGATTAGGCAATAAAACTTACCCGAGTATTTAAGGTAGAGAGATTAGGCAATAAAACTTACCCGAGTAGGTTAGGTAAAGAGATTGGGCAATAAAACTTACCCGAGTAGGTTAGGTAAAGAGATTAGACAATAAAACTTACCCGAGTAGGTTAGGTAGAGAGATTAGGCAATAAAACTTACCCGAGTAGAATAGGAAGAGAGATTAGGCAATAAAACTTACCCGAGTAGGTTAGGAAGAGAGATTAGGCAAAAAAACTTACCCGAGTAGGTTAGGTAAAGAGATTAGGCAATAAAACTTACCCGAGTAGGTTAGGTAAAGAGATTAGGCTGGATAGTACTGAGATGAGTTCAGGTTGATCTCTAGGTACACAAACAGATACCAAGGTTTCCATCCTAGCCCTCCAGTCCTCAGGTGTATCCTTGAGAACCAGACCCAGGAAAACTTGACACAACTGGTTCTCTTCTAACCTAGATATCAAGCTCATTACAGAATCCGTCCTCAAATCATTTATCACGTGATCCGTCCATAAAAATCACTTTAAAAAATTCACAACTGTCAACTGACATCTATAGAAACTATATTTTTCATTCTTTATCAATAATCATCACCGATAGTTAAATACAATTATCCCAAAAAAAAGTGTTTAAAAAAGTCCAACTGCGACAAGTAAAGATCCGACTCTAAGCTAGTTAATAATCAATTTGTCGGAAACTTTTTCGAAAGAAAACAGCTTGATGTACAGCAATAAATTCAGGAACCTTTGTGGATCGTTAATAGCACGCTTTATATTAAAGACCATCTTTAATTACGTTAACCATCCATTAAGAAATGGATATAGAAAACATGCCTATTGGCTTTAAAAATACCCCTTAAGTAAAAGGAATATTTAAAGTTTCTTTGTGAAAATTGCTTTATCTTTACATATACTTTGCTTGTCTATCTGTTTGTTTTACATTTAGGTTGGAATTTAAAGGATGAAATAAAAACTAAAATAAAAATAAAGATAAACAAGAAAAAAATTAAGAAAAAATTAGGAATTATCATTCGTCATCACTCCATATGTATACAAATAAACAAACTAAACTCAAAATGTAATTATTATCTTCTAATCGTGTTTCATCTTACCTAGACCTATCGTTCTCACTAAGTGACCACTGGAACCCTTTCATGCTCGTCCTACCGGACTTCTTCACCATCAGGTTCCCTCCCTGGTCCAGGATCTTCCGCATCCTCTCCCAGGACTGTCCTCGGGAGAAGGTCGTCTTCCAGAACTGTTTGTCCTCTATACTGATGCTGGTTAGGAGGTCCAAGGACGGGATCAGGATCGGACCAGTCACGCTCAGGGTAAGTCCAGAGTACCAGGGAGTATCTGCGTATTGCAAGGTTAAGGAGCAGGGAACTATATCTCCGGACTGGGTGCAGCGGGGTAGGACTAGCCGAGGTTCAGCAGCTAGTACATACAGATGACGAAGTGCCTGTAAATGATACCTATTATCATTACTGTGGGTTGGAAACTTTGGGAAGAAAGCGGCGATCATCGTCGCCACGGCCGTTGGAGTGTTTGCCAGACCGTACTTTCCGCCGCCGAGAAACAACAAGCCTACCGCCATATGAACAGCCATGTGACTCCCATAGGTAACAATAGTAGAAGTATGAACCCGAGATCGGAGATATCTGCAGATCCGTAGAACGGATAGATCTCCTGAACCTGCCATAACTATACCCTGAGCTAGAACTAAAATACACAGGGTCTGCTCAATCACAGCCTTTCCTGTCAGCTCAGCAATTGAGCGTTTAACTATTGCCATAAATTTATTTGTCAACTGTTCCAAGGTTTCAAATGCAGCCTTGTTCCAGGTTCCAGCAAACCTGAGAGCTAAAGCAAACCCTGCTCCGGATACAATGTTACAGTAAGCCTGGTTCAAGGTCTCGTAGTCCAGATTCTCTAATCCGGGTGCCGGCTGATCCGGAGGTCTAACCAGACAATGCTCTAGCATAGCTGAGGGAACATGCGACTCAATCCATGATACACTTGGTTCGATATCATCCCACAGGATCAGACCTTTAGCCAGGGTTCGGAACATTAGAAAATCAGGACGAACAAAGTCTAGAAGAAATAAGGTATCCGGAGCATTCATCCAGGATGCAATAGTTTGGTTTCCAGACTTCCAGTACATCATGCCCAATGCAAGCGTGGCACCTGGAGAAGTAATATCAATGTTTATTGAATCTCCTTCTTTGATCTGATAACTGACCGGTCTCTCTCTTGCCGAGGAGTTTGGTTTAGGCCGTGGGCCTCCTAGCATATGATTATGTAAAGACTCAGGTAGGTTTAGGTCAGCTAATACTCCGGTCACAAGGTTTTCTCCTTCTCCCATAGTAATAAGACCTAGAGACAGCCCTGCGGTTAGACTGTAGCTCTCCCGGTCAACACAGTTTTCTAGCTCCGGTCCTGGGGGTTTACCCAGCTCTTTTAAACAAACCTCAACCATATGACGATGTCCAGTGTTAGCGTAAAGCAACCCTACTCCCATGAGTGCAGCAACCTGGGTGTTGTGTGAGAGCGGGAGCTCCGTTGCGGTAGGAAGTAGCAAAGCTTCTAACTGTGTTGCAAGCTTCTTGGTCACCAAAACATCCATAGTTCCTAAATGTGAAGCAGCTACACCGATGAGTAAACCAATACTAATAGGTTCGGATCCTTTACTCAGATACTCGAATGCATCAAGCTTGCTCAAGTTTGCCAGGTGTCCGTTTAGTCCTAGAGCCATGAGGAACCCGGCGTGCTCCGTTTCCGCACTAGACTCGGCTCCGGGAGGTTTATTGAACGAGATCCAGGTTGAATCAACCTCCTGGGACTCCAGGTTAGCCTTAAGTCTCAGTCCGGCTGCAACCCCGTTATGAAAGGATGGCCAATGATCCATATTCTGAGAAACATCAATCCTTGCCAGTTCAACCTTGGTTCCAGCTGGTGGAGCCTTACCGGTCAAACAGAGCTGAGGTATACTCAACATCTCGGTGGGAAGAGGAGATGTCGTCTTTAAGGCTGCTATACCTCGACCTACAGGTAGAGCCATGGTACGCTCACACATCCTCTTCAAGAAGTATTCCTGTTCCTCCAGGAAATCATGGTCGGATACCTCGGGACCCTAATCATTAAAGGGGCTGTAGATTTAATTTAATGAGTAAAGGGACTCTTCATTTCTAAAGTGGTTTGTCCAACTCTCAAGAGCAACCTTGAGAATAAATTATAGATCTTAATTTGTCTAGCTAAATTTTTCAATAATAAACCGTTTTGAATCTCATGTGCCACTTTTTAAATGTCCAAATAAAAAAGCAATCAATTCAGGTTTTTTTTCATCCCAAAAAATAAAACGGTTAAAAATGTTTAAACTATCTTTGATCATAAAGAGTCGCATAGAATCACGTTTACAGTCCCTTTATTTGAATATACAAGTTTCAATTGAACGAGTGTTCTATAAAAAGTGTGGTAAAATCCAAAGTGGGAAATAAATATTTTTTCATTTTTAGAGATGGGCTAGGCCTTGGGCAATCGCTTGGCTTTTTTTTATACCTTAACGGTTTTTAACTTCTTAAGGAATTTACAAAATAAAAAAATCTATCCAGATTCCAGCGAGAAGATATTTGAACTAATATCGCTTTTTGCTTGTTTTTTCCCTTCAAATTTCTCTTAGATCGGCATATGTTGCATAATTTAATAAAAGCAAACTTTTACAGAAGACATTTTTAAATTTTACAGATTTTTGGGTTTCTTTTAAAAATCTAAACAGTAAACAAACACCTTAAAAGCAAATAACAAACCAGGTACTTTCAACTTTGACAATCACTATTTCTATTTGGATCTTTAAAAAATGGAGGGGTTCAATTAAAAAGTTGTAAATTGTAAAAACTTTTAAAATGAAATAATCAAAAAAGAATATATCAAACTACCTTTTCTATAGATACAACGACAGGTTTGCAGGATTGTAGAACCCTCCTAGCTTCAACAGTTCTCAAATCCTTCGGCCAGCGGAGTCTAGATATTTCACAATCCAACCCTTCCAGCCCATCCAGGGTTTCCTCAATACATCTGTAGGATTTATCACCAACTGTCTGACTCTGGTTCTCCGCTAAATCCTCTCTTCCAATTAGTTCAAGGATTTGAACACTCCAGGTAGGATCAGGATCCAGACGGCAGGAGGCCAGGGCGGAGTAGATTGGTATTGCGAGGCTAGTTGGTAGGTTGGATATCCTTACACGGTCCCAGCCAGAGGCGGAGATAAGCTCAGCCACGGTTTGCTCCCTACTCCGCCCTATGATGATTGGGGTGAGGTGGGTGGCAGGTCTGCCAGGCTGGGATAGAGGTTTGAGGTAAAGTTCAAGGTTAACTGCCATATTAGGCTGTCTTGAACCTAACGTAACAGTGCAGGCGGTCACTAGTTTAATTGATGAGTTTACAGAGCTTATTATTGGGAATGGACTGACGGCTTGGTTCAATATGACCTTACTCAAGTGTGTATAAATACAAGGAGGGGATACGGATATTATATTACTGACATTAAGCTTTAGAAGAAGGTCGGAGCTAAGCTGACTGCCTCGGGTTTCAGATATAGGAGAACCGGTTTCAGGGAAATCCTTCCAGTAGTGGTGCAGGTATTTGGAGAGCTTCAGATCAAATGCTAGTCTGGATAATAAGTTAGCAATATAGGGTAGTTCGGAGTACAGGCATACGTCCAGTTTAAGTTCCTCATACAGGAGATGAAGGGACCAGAATATGGACGGGATGTAGGAGAACAAGGGTGCACTTGGATTAATTTCTCCGACAGGTTTCGATCCCGGGGATTGATTTGTATCATAGGGTTCACGTATCACATGTTGCAACTTGAGTATCTCGGATAACGAGTGTCCAGAGTGAACATGTTGAGGAGAATCCAGAAGATATTGCCAATCGCCGTCAGTCCCACATTCAGTCTTACTTTTCTTAGGACCCGGACAACCTTGATTCATATCTCCGGAGGAAGAGAGGGAGGAGAGATCTAGATTATCAACCTGGTATCCGCACAGACCAAGGATACATTTACAGAACATATCCCACTCTGCTTCTTGTGTTGGGATTGGACCCGGAGCATGTCGTTTACTGAACCATGCTCCATGAACTTGCAAAGCTAACTCACGTGGAAGTAACTGTTTAACCGTCTCCAACCCCTTGGAAACTAAACTGGTTGCAACACGGGGAAGGGTTGCACGTATCATGGTCCCTGAGTTGTAGACAAAGGTTACTTGTCGATTACACGGATCTCGGACTCCTACAATAGCAGAACTATTTTGGTCGAAGCTAACCGGAGTGTAACATATGAAATCCTTTTTAAATTGATGGTTGATAATAGGTTCAATGTGAGGAAACGGAGCAGGACGTTTAACAGTGGAAGGTTCTGGAGTTGAAAGACAAAAGTCTGAACCTGAGAACGGATCTCCCGCCTTTATATCAATAGCTAGAGCACTGATCTCCTGGGAGAGGAGGGTGGTGGAGCTGGGAGGGAACAGAGTTTTCCCTACTCTACTACACCCACTGAGTAACTGAATACTTCCCGTAGGTTCTAGGACCAGGATCATATTCAACTCATCTACTGGAACCGCGTCCAGTGCAGGGATCTTCTCCACGGTTCCAAATATAATCGTGACACCGTCATCGTTCGCATACTTAAACTTGACCAGGTTCAGCTGGTTGGAGGAGAGAAGGAAACAGAAGAACGATTGTCCGACTGCGTCCTGGGACATGAAAACCTTCTTAGCTTTGCCCAGCTTCTCCCGAGTGGGACGGCTGGGTTCGGTCCAGATGTGCTCGAAGCAGAGTGCCACCTCCAACGGGTGAGGGTTAGCGTCCCCAAGATCGTCGTCCATGGCGGGTAGGTTTTGTTTAAGATATCTGCAGGGACTATCCCCGAGGAGACGAGCGGATACTTTGGAGCTGAAGGACGGAGACACTCCACTTCTATATTTTAATCAGATTAATTTATTTTTAAAAGTTCAAATATGAAATATAAAATTTTTCGTTTTCATTATCAGAAAATACTACTTGGTCAAAAATGTCTATTGTCTTGTCTTTGATATCAATTCAGATATTTGTTCATTCAACGTGCGACTTATTATGATAAGTCCTCCCCGAAATGCCATTTTTTTAATAAAAAAATATCTCCTTTTTTTGTTCAGTAAAATCATTATCGGTATCAATAAAAAGAAAAATTTTATAACTATTTTAGTTTATCAAAAATAAAACGAAAAGTATTATTTTTAGTTCTTAGTTTAATTGGGATAAAATTCTGAGTTAATATTCCTGAGGAAAACTCCGGTAGATTGAGGAGAATTTAGCCGAGATTTAGGAGAACAGGGTCTCGTGTGAACTGTTTATGGATTAGGATTAGAAAATAATATACACGTGATAAAGGAATTGAGTCTTTGACAAAAGCTCTAATTTTCTAATCCCTATATCTTTGCAACCTGATGGTACTTTTGATATTTCAAACTTAGATTATTTGATCTAAGAGAATTCGTAGTTCGAAATATCTAAGGTCTACGTCATTAGGTTGCCAAGATAAAGGGGTTAGAAAATATAAGAATTTGGCCTGTGCCCAGGATCTATTTAATTTTGATGCGGATCCGGATCCTTGATTCGTACTTGGAAAAATGTGATCCGGATCCAGGTCATTTCTTTAAGATTTACTAAATTTTTTAACAAAGCAGAATTTTCAAATTTGTCTTATTTTTTCCGCTTATTTTTATGCTAAAGCTTGATGAACCATTCGGAAATCAGGAAATTTTTATAATCTCTCTTAAAAAAATTGAAAATTTTTTCAATTGTTCAGATTTAGGTTGAGAGTAAAATTTTTTTTTTGCAGTTTTTGGTTGATATTTTGCCCCTTGGATCCGGATACGGGAAGCCCAAATCTTGCGGATCCAACGGATCCGGATCCTAAGCATGTGGAAAATACTCAATTCGCTAAAGGAAGTTGTCCATAATGTTCATAAATATCAAAATGGGTATTGATCTTTATTTTTTTAATGAGATCTTTTCGTGTCCATATATTCCTGGAGTATGGGGATGGGAGTTGGTTGGAGTGGAGAATCCGGATGGTTGTCTACTGGTTCTCTGTACAGCCGGAGTACAGGCCAGAGAAGGGGACGCACTACCTGGATAACAATTGTTAGAAAACGTTGCATTACGGGTTAATTCTTCCTTACCCCCCCCCCCCCCTAGTTTATTTATTAATTATTTGTATTTGTCTCTTCTGTAAAATTTAAATGTTTCAATAATTACTAAAATAAACTTTAAAAAATTATTATGCTTCAACCTGCAAAGCTGCCGAAATTGGTGAAATTAAATTTAGAATCGAAACGCGAAAGAAAAAAAATGCTAAACCTGTTTTGAAAGATGAGTTTGCCAGATCAGTATTCTGACCGGAGAGTGCAGGAGTGATAACTCCGGTCTGGGATAGTGTGTGCGCCACTTCCACTTCCTCTAGGCTAGCGCACCGTATTTTCCATACACTGGACAAACAGGTTTAAAGAGGCTGTTCTTGAAATTAAATTTGATCCCTCATGCAAAATCTAGTTATTCTATATGGAATCCTGTCATGATTGGGTGATTTTCTTAATTTTGATTTAGAATTCAAAAATACATTCTCACTTTTCAGAACAACAGAGGTCACATAAGATCAATTTTTAAAAAGAAATTCAAAGAGTTATCCATCAATGCTGCTATGACGAGGAATTTAACATTAAAACATGTTATAATTTTTTATTTGAGGGTTTAACAGTTTTTGATAATGCTAATTTATTTGTTGGTTTACTTAGTTTAGATGGTAAAAAATTAACTCTACCTGTGAAGATCTGTGTGAGAATTGTATGAAATGACAATATTAGATTTTACATCAGTAAACACGATCTAAGCAATCATTTATTCTAGTCTACACTAAGGGAAACCATGCTGTTTTTGAGAGATATCAAATTGCAGAATTAAAATCTTACTGAAAAGCTAAGTCCTATTAACAAATTAAAAAGTTTCAATCTCAAATTTCCATGTTATATAGATCAAAATTTGCTCATGGTGAATAACCAGATTAGGAAGCCAACAAATTTTTTAAAAATATTTAAAAAGGCGTGAAATAGGGTGTCCAAGACCAGTCAGAACAATGAATGATTCCTGTTGGGATTGGTCTGTGAGTTCTGATATCCGGATCCCTTGCTTCCAGATCACCCGTGTAAGATCATCCAAGGGATGTTGGAGACAGAACATCACCGGAAATGGATTCTCTTTCTCCAAAACCTGGAAGAAAAATTTTAATTATTTGTTCAACTATAGAAAAAAAAAACAAGATGAAAGATATAATTTCAAAGGGAATTTATAAGATTGATTTTGTTCATGATGTTAACCCTGATCAGAGATCATCAAAACTGTCAAATCTATTCTATATCAGGTAACCCTATAGACGATTAGAGACTCAAGATGAAGACGGAGAAACGAGATCCAATCTGCATTTATATTGTTAAAACATTTATTTACTAAAATCTTCAAAACCACATAAATGAAAATCCATTCTTTAAAAAATCTTAAAGCTTAAATCCAAACTTTTAATATTATTTTATGCCTAAAACCATGATTATTTTATATCTAAAACCATGGATTTTATTAAAAAGTATTTAACCAATATTTAATCAATGTTAATTTTAACCCTTACTTTTTGGGTCTTAAAAAATATTTATTTCTGAATACTTTTTCAGAAAGAATGGAAAGGTTTTTTAAAGCGCGTAGTTGGACTACTAGTCTGTGATCTGTGGAGTTATATAGGTACTTTAAAGATTTAACACAAACCCTTTATAATAGATCTAAGTGGAGGCTGCGTTTCTGAAAGAATGAACAAGGATTATCAAAACAAAGAAAAAAACTAAACAAGGATTATCAAAACGAAGGAAATAATGCACAAGGATTATCAAAACAAATGAAAGAATGAACAAGGATTACCAAAGCAAAGGAAAGAATGAACAAGGATTATCAAAACAAAGAAAAAAACTAAACAAGGATTATCAAAACAAAGGAAATAATGCACAAGGATGATCAAAACAAAGGAAAGAATGAACAAGGATTATCAAAACAAAGAAAAAAACTAAACAAGGATTATAAAAACGAAGGAAATAACGCACAAGGATTATCAAAACAAAGGAAAGAATGAACAAGGATTACCAAAGCAAAGGAAAGAATGAACCAAGGATTATCAAAACAAAGGAAAGAATGAACAAGGATTATCAAAACAAAGGAAATAATGCACAAGGATTATCAAAACAATGGATAGAAGAAACAAGGATTATCAAAACAAAGGAAAGAATGAACAAGGATTATCAAAACAAAGGAAAGAACTAAACAAGGATTATGAAAACAATGGATAGAAGAAACAAGGATTATTAAAACAAAGGAAAGAATGAACAAGGATTATTAAAACAAAGGAAAAAAATAACAAGGTTTATCAAAACAAAGGAAAGAATGAACAAGGATTATCAAAACAAAGGAAATAATGCACAAGGATTATCAAAACAAAGGAAAGAATAAGCAAGGACAAGGATTATCAAAACAAAGGAAAGAACTAAACAAGGATTATCAAAACAATGGATAGAAGAAACAAGGATTATTAAAACAAAGGAAAGAATGAACAAGGATTATTAAAACAAAGGAAAGAATTAACAAGGATTATCAAAACAAAGGAAAGAACTAAACAAGGATTATCAAAACAAAGGAAAGAACTAAACAAGGATTATCAAAACAAAGGAAAGAATTACACAAGGATTATCAAAACGAAGGAAAGAATGAACCAAGGATTTACGAACCGAAGGAAGAACGAACCTGTCGTTCCAAGATGAGACCAAATCTTGATTTCCAAGATCTCAGAACTCCAAACTGTAAAGCTACGAGATAATCATGTCCAGAGTCGCAGAATATTCTGTTTCAACCCATTAATTTATTTGAGATTTTATTTCTAATTAGAATTTTTTATTTGATTTTTACTTTTTAGACGACGGACGTTTGGACATTTTCAGGTAAATGCAAGTTAGTAATAATTTCAATAAGTTAAATTATGTTGGTGAAAAATAATTCTCCGAAATTTGGAACCATAAAAAGTTAAACAAAAACCTTTGTATCTTTTAGTATTTGTAAGGAGAATTTAAAATGAACCATAAACCGCGTACCCCAAACAGATATTTTACAAAGATCAATATTGATAATTGAATTATCTGAACACAGTCATGGCAGGGATAGAAGTAAAGCAAATCATTAAAATTCTAAGAAAATGTAAATAAATAAATCCCCCGAATCGACAAAAATATCTTTTTTCCTAAATATATTGACGAAAAGGGAAATCTAAGGAGTTAACCTATCTCCCAAAAAAAACCAATAATTTAAACCTCAAAAATCCTCAGATTGAATCTAGGGATAGCATTAAAAAAATAATTATTCCCGCATCAACATTAATTAGTTTATCAAAGAAAATTAATAATATTTAAGAATTGATTAAATGGCTTGAATCCCTGAGACTGGATGAGTTTCTAACACAGATTGTATGGATAGGTTCCCCCTCCTCCCTTGTCTCTAGGTTGGTGGGGAGGATGCAGGGATATGAGGGGTTGGAGTAGAAGGAGCATCTCACAACTTCGCGAATATTTTCGGAGTTCGTGAAACATTTTCTACAATAATGAATGTGAATTAATCAGGGGTGTATGTTGAATATAATTCCCCCCCCCCCCCCCCCCTCCCTCAACATCAATTTGAAAACTTTTTACAGGGAGTGGAAGTTTTTTCAAAAGAAAATAAAAAATCCACAATCAAAACTTTGTTCTGCACCATAAACAAATCCTAATTAAGGATTCAAATATAACGCTAAACACACGGGTTTTCTGAATATTAACAAAGAATTAACATTATAGAAATAAATAATTATTATATTTTGGTTTAGCCCGTTGTCATGCGTGGAGCGGACTCTTGCATGGGGCGGGCTCCCCCTTCAGTTTTCACTATTTCAACACTATGTTAGACATAAAAAAGACAAAATTTATGACATTTTCCGATATTTATTAATGCATTTTGATTTAAAAAACACATTAAAAATTATCTATGTCTCGAGTAAATGTTAAATGTTTGATGATTTGAAAGGGAGACGACATTCAAGAGGAAATAACCTTTTTTGCCTTAACACCCTTTAAATTGCATTTAAGAACCAAATGCGTATTTAATAAATGTCAACTAAAATTTGTATTGTTTTAACATTGCTTTTTATGCCTAAAATTGTATTAAAATGGTAAAAAACGCCCCATGCAAGAGTCCACTACATGCAGGACACAGGTCTATTCTAAGAGTTATAATATATTTTCCATTCACAAAAATATGAAAATCGGAAAGAATATCCAGGTAACTATATATTACAGGTTTCCTCATTCAGATCTAGAACTATATATTACAGGTTTCCTCATTCAGATCTAGAACTAGATATTATAGGTTTCCTAATTCAGATCTAGAACTGGATATTACAGGTTTCCTCATTCATATCTAGAACTAGATATTACAGGTTTCCACATTCAAATCTAGAACTAGATATTACAGGTTTCCTCATTCAGATATAGAACTAAATATTACAGGTTTCCTCATTCAGATATAGAAGGTTTCCTCATTCAGATCTAGAACTCGATATTACAGGTTTCCTCATTCATATCTAGAACTAGATATTACAGGTTTCCTCTTTCAGATATAGAACTAGATATTACAGGTTTCCTAATTCAGATCTAGAACTGGATATTACAGGTTTCCTCATTCAGATCTAGAACTAGATATTACAGATTCCTCATTCAGATATAGAACAAGATATTACAGGTTTCCTCATTCAGATATAGAACCTCTCTTCTCTGTTGACCCAACCATCCCACCTCTCTACTCTGTTGACCCAACCATCCCACCTCTCTTCTCTGTTGACCCAACCATCCTGCCTCTCTACTCTGTTAAACCAAACCAAACCCTTACTTTGTACTAGTTGGAACCCTGGATTACCTGATGCTTGTGGTTCCAGGAGTTGAGACGGGTGCTCTTTCAGAACCTTCCGACCATGCGGAGTAAACTCCGTTACATTCTCGATAGAGATCATGCCAATACCATTCTGAAATTTTAATTTGAATAAAACTTTGTCACTTGACTGTTAACTCCGCTCCTATTGGTTGATACTTAGCGTCAGCTGTGAACTGTACTCGGAGTAAGCTGTTACCGAACCCCACACCTATGCTAAATAATTCCAAGAAGTGTGATATTTTTTCTGGACTATTTAGATAAATTTTTATAAGAAAAGTCAATATAGAAAGCATGTTGGGTCTGTCCTAGTATACGATTTTTGGACCCCCCCCCTCTCCTATCAATTAGGTACATATATAAAATAAAAAATTAGGTACATGAACACTTATTTTTCAGCAAAACTATTATTATTTGTTTAATTATTTTAGGGTTAGGTTAAGACAATTTCCGGGCCAAGCGCTGCGGCTAGAACAGGCTAGGGGACCGAACGCTACGACTATAATAGGCTAGCTGGGGCCGAGGGCCGCAGCTAGGACAGGTTAGGGGGCGCGCTGCGGCCACAATTATACCCAAGTGTTACATACGAGATCCATGTACAAAATGGATAGGAGGAGGGTGGGGGTAAAAAATCCTATATTAGGAAATTACCGGTCCGAAAATTACAGGACTCAACCTTAAACACACATCCCGCCATCGATTAGAGAAAAACAAAGAAAACTCGTAAATCTAAACCAATCAACTATATCGATTCATAAACGATGTTATACCACTGACCCGACTTTAGGCCGGTGTAATTCCAAATGTCTAGCCCTTGGGTTTAATTAACTTACGACGTGGTAATATATGTGATAACCTTTAACTCTAGAATTGCACCTTTTTTCACCGACTACTTACGATTTAAATAAAAACTATTGATCGGTGATATTGCGGCATTGCACAATCTTAAATCAAAACATTACATTTGTCGTCTTCGTTATTCAGACTGATGCAATGAGTAATGTTACATCGTTACACGTAACATTCCACCTACTGAACTTCTGACCTACTAACTTTCCGACCGACTGCTTAATATCGGACATATGCCAGCTGTTTATTTTTGTATTATTTGAGGGTAAGGTTAGGTTAGGACAATTTCTGCGGCATAGGACTGCAGGAACATGTATAGCAGATTTTCGTATAGGTAGAAAAATACACCATCGATGCAATGAATGCATGATGTCCGATTGCGATTGAACTATAACGTCATTTGCACTAAAGTCAGCTAACTGATCAGAAACAGGTTTGTATTACGATTGAACAAATTAGTGCAAATGAACACAATCGAGCTTTATACTGGCAGTTCAAATGGACTAAAATATTATTTTCCCGCCTGAAGGAATAATTTATTTTCCCGCGCGCGCGCGTTCATTTGAACTATTCTTTGTTATTTTGAACTATTTCTATGTACATAAACTATTTCATTTGAAATTATTGTACGTTATTTGAACGCGAGCTGAATTTGTGGTACCCGCTCATCGAACCCTATAAGGAAACGAACCTAACGTTTTTCTGACCTAACGTTTTTCCGACCTAAAAATCTGTAGGTCGATTAGCGAAATGTCCCAAACTGACCTAAAGATTGTAAATATATTTAGGTCGGTTTATTGATATATTTTAGGTCAGTTGGGAATATGTTTTAGGAATTGGTTAAAGCAACAATTTTAGGTTAGATAAGCATTCATTTTAGGTCGGTTGAGCAATATTTTTTAGGTCGGTTGAGCAATTAATATTTTTAGGTCGGATGAGCAATATTTTTAGGTCGGATGAGCAATGTTTTTAGGTCGGTAGAGCAATATTTTTAGGTCGGATGAGCAATATTTTTAGGTCGGATGAGCAATATTTTTTGGTCGATTGAGCAATATTTTTTGGTCGGTTAAGCAATATTTTTAGGTCGGATGAGCAATATTTTTAGGTCGGTTGAGGAATATTTTTAGGTCGGATGAGCAATATTTTTAGATTGGATGAGCAATATTTTTAGGTCGGTTAAGCAATATTTTTAGGTCGGTTAAGCAATATTTTTAGGTCGGATGAGCAATATTTTTAGGTCGGTTGAGCAATATTTTTAGGTCGGTAAAGCAATATTTTTAGGTCGGATGAGCAATATTTCCAGGTCGGATGAGCAATATTTTAAGGACGGATGAGCAATATTTTTAGGTCAGTTCAGAAATTTTTTTAGGTCGGTTGAGCAATTTTATTTATAGGTCAGTGGAGCAATATTTTTAGGTCGGTTGAGCAATATTTTTAGGTCGGATGAGCAGTAATATTTTTAGGTTGGCAATATTTTTTTGGTTGGTTGAGTAATATTTTTATTTCAGAGGTTATAATAGATGAGTAATATTTTTTTTAAATGTTTAAATATAAAATAAACATAAAAACAACAATTTTCAATTAAATTAGTATTTATTTAGGGTTAGGTTAGGTTAAGACACTTTCTGGGCCGAGCGCTGCGGCTAGGACAGGCTAGGGGTATTGCTCATCCGACCTAAAAAAATTGCTCATCCGACCTAAAAAAAATTGCGTATCCGGCCTAAAAATATTGCGTATCCGACCTAAAATTATTGCTCATCCGACATAAAAAAATGCTTATCCGACCTAAAAAAATTGCTAAACCAACCTAAAAATATTGCTTAACAGACCTAAAATTGTCACTAATCTGCAACTTAAACTTCCTGGTAAACAGACCTAATATATATGCTCAACCAACCTAAATATATCTCTAAATCTTAGGTCGGAAAACCTATATATATATATTTCTCATAGGATGTCAAACGGACCAAAAGCTTTTTTCAACCAAACCGACCTAAAACACGTGCAAACTACTCGATATTTAGGTCAGAAAACCTTTAGATTAGAATCATCTAGGTCGAAATATACGGCACCGTTAAAACCACATCTTGGCCAAAATCTCAAATTGCCAAAATTTACAAGAGCTAGGCCAAAAATACATAAGCCGAATAATCATACAATTGTCAAGGTTATTTATTTTCCATGTCATGTTAGGCCAAAACCTCATATATTGGCAAAAATTACGTATTGGCTCAAAATTAAGTATTATAAATTGGAATTTGCCCTGAACATTGTGCAACGTCTCATCTGCACTAATCTTTGTTCTTAAAATATTTCCAGAATTTAGAATAAGCCTGAATTTTACAGAACTATTTATTTATTGTTATTTCTCTTCTTCCAAAAGGTCTAATTTAGAATAAACCTGAATTTTACAGAACTATTTATTTATTGTTTCACATATATCTCTTCTTCCAAAAGGTCTAATTGTCATAATCACAATTTAACCAACATATCAAACTTCTGAAAATTACAGGAGACCAATTAAAAATCACATATTGGCACAACTTTACGAATAAAAAATTGAGTGTTTGCCAAAAACTTGATTTTCTGATCCTTATATCTTTTTATCCTGATGGTGTAAATACATAGTTTAAAATACCTACGGTTTACGACATTGCAGGGTTGCAAAGACATAAAGGGATTATAAAATCAGAGTATGAGACAATGACTCAATTCCATTGTACATATCACTTGTTTATGGCCAAAACCTATTTCATAAATAGCCAAAATCTCATATTGGCCAAAACACAAGTATAGGAATTTGTCCTTCAATTGTACAGTCACGTCCACTTCTTTGATTTTTTCTGCAAAACCTAACAAATATGTTTTTAGAAGAATTCAGAACAAAAGTCAAATTCCCAGGGTCTCCCCCCCCCCCTCTCCCTCGGCCACTCCAAAAATCATTGTTCCAGTGACTCCCCTGGATCTTATTTTTTAAAGATTTAAATATCTACCTAAATGTAATGTTCTCAACCTGAGATAATTCCTTCCCATTCTGTCCATAACAAGTCCATAATTCTGCTCCACATCTATCAATTAATCCTTGTATTTTTGTACACTGCAACAGTTGTACATTGTAATATGTACACTGTACAGTTGTAAATTGTAATTATGTACATTGTACAGCTGTACATTGTAATCATGTACACTTACAGAGCTGAACATTGAAATAATATACACTATATATATACACTGAAGTTTTAAATAACTAATTACTCGCCTCAAACAAAAATTTTCTAACTGCTAGTGCTATATCTCTTTTTGCAACAATATGTTGTTAACCTATAATTTTTCAGACTTTGAATCATTTACTCTCAGACAAATTAGAATCAATGGAAATTTAAACCCCCAAGGGATTCAATGAAAAACCCGAGGGCGCAACCCAAGGGCTCATCATTGAATTATATCATTGACTCCCTCGGGAGTTTAAATTTCCATTGATTCTAATTCACATTTTACAGAAACGAGCAATACGATTAATTGATAACTCAAAAGCCACGTCTCATAGTGATCCTCTTTTCCTTAAGTATAGATTCTAAAGATTAATGATCTGGTAGACTTTAACCAAGCTATATTTATGTATAAATATACACATAAACTTCTTCCTGCATCTTTTGAAAATATTTTTAAAAAGCTTGGAACCTTTGATAATTGAAATATTTTGTTATTATTACTAAAATTAGATGGAAAAAATAATCAAAACAGCCAAGAGCTATTTTCCACCTAATTGCTTTATACTTGTACTGTTAATATAATCATCAATTTTGTGATTGTAAACTCTATCTGTATACAGTGAGATACATTTATTTTAGCAATAAACTTTATCTTATCTTATCTTATCTTATCTAATTTGTTTGAGAGCAAATGATATTCCTTCGTAAAAGGGGCGGGATTAAATGAAAATGAAAAGGGGCGGAATTAAATGAAAATTCTTGCATACCAAAGAACTAGCTTTTTATAAAGGAATGACTATTTGAAATATGCGAACTCTTACTTTTGAAATACCAAAGATTTACTCTATCAGGCTGCTAAGATATTTCTAATAGAAAATTGGAGTTTAAGGCAAGTAATCAGTTTCTTTGTTCACCTTGTAATTGGCCAGCCTGAGTAGTGGTTTAGCACATCTGTAGGAAATAGACTGTGTTCGATATCATACCAACTATCCCTTTCATTAGGTATAATAGTTAGAAATATACCAATATGATACCAACTATCCCTTTCAATAGGTTTAATAGTTAGAAATATACCAATATGATACCAACTATTCCTTTCAATAGGTTTAATAGTGAGAAATATACCGATATCATACCAACTATTCCTTTCATTAGGTTTAATAGTTAGAAATATACCAATATCATACCAAATATCCCTTTCAATATGTTTAATAGTTAGAAATGCACCAATATCATACCAAATATCTCTTTCAATAGGTTTAATAGTTAGAAATATACCAATATGATCCCAACTATTCATTTCAATAGGTTTAATAGTTAGAAATATTCAAATATAATACCTAATATTAATTTCAAAAATTTGAGGCAAGTTTGTTATCCGTTTTTACGATTTTAAGGAAAACTCCTTTGAAAAGGGATTATAACGTAACTCAATTGACACTCTACTTAGAAGAAAAAAGACTGGTATATGTCAGAATCCCAACGATACTCTTTAAAACTCTAATTCAGCAAAAAATAAGAAAAATATGGTCATTTTCCTAAACAGTAGACACCGATCAATTCTTATAATTTCTTTCTTGTCTGTGTGCTCTAAAATCCCCAATTCACTTTCAAAGAGAAACCACACAAAAAAAATTTAAGTTAAATATTTACCAATATATACCAATTGATGTATTTATTTAAAAATAAATACATCTGTTGGTATATCCCTAGGTAAGCTGACCTGTATATCCTGACAGGTTGATTAAATCTATGATATCTAAGATGAGGTCTATGGTTCGGAGAACGTACTTCAGCTCTAGCCTGTTCTCCAGTACAAACATCCTCCTAGAGATTTATCTTGTTTTTATTTAGAGAAAAGCATCCATGGGGACCAGATATAATATACAGTTAAACCCTAAATATTGAATAGATCGAAAAAATTTATCAAATGTCGTATTCTTAACTTTCTGACAATGAAATGTTGCAGATATTTAGTTTTTTTGATTATATGATTATATGGAGCTCTATAAAACTGTTCCCGCATATACATGACTATTTTATTTCGCAAATACAGAGATTTACGTAAAATGGTATAAAACCAACGGAAAAATTGTCAAGACGACAGATCATAAATTCTTTCGATGAATTTAACATTTAGGGTTTTACTATACCACTGGTTCAAATTCGAAATCATCATAAATCTTTAACTATGACAATCGTTGATTCAAGATTTGAACCGGCGGCCATTTCAGCGACCCAGCTTAAATTTATTAAATTCGGTCTCAGGGAGACAAAACCCGGAAATAAAAAGTTTATTTTGTAATGTAATGGTTGGTCTAGCCGTAATGCTCGCCCCGCTTTTAACGTTATTTTTTGTGGGACTCGTGGGACACGCTTTATTCCTGCAGGAAGGAAACCCATTTTCTACAGTCGTCGTCGTAGATATCAATAAATGAAGACGACTTTTTATTTCAATTTTTCAAACAGTGCAGAGACGTTTCATCTAACAGCTTTTGTTTGTTTACTTGTAAGCCTGTAATATGATAAATGCATTTTAGGGATAAAAAAACTATTCATAAAAGTCGTCTTCATTGTATTGACATAATCACTGATAAGTAAAAGACACCTGGGCAAGCAAGGTCTCCTCATTCTTGAAAATGCGTATCAATGTTGTAGTTCGGTCAAATGTTGACTCTATACTTTCATCTAATATATCCTGGCAGAAATATCAAATATAAAAAATTTAATCTATTAAACAATAAGTAAATAAACAAATTTCCTGCAAATATTTTGAAATAAATAGAATAATTTCTACAATAGAAGACATTAAATAACATAGCAAAACGTTTTTTTTATAATTTCTTTTTTTTAATTCTTAATTTTATTCTTTTCTACCTTCAGGAAAATAAAAAGTTTACAAAACATCTTTAATTTCATTTTTCAAATTATTTCAATTAACTCTCCAGTCTTAAGAATTTTATAAGAAATAAGCTTAAACTTTAGAACCGGAATTTGTTTCTTAAATAAAATAGAATAAACTGTTTAAGACCTTGTCATTAGCGGTGTACAAGTAAACTCCGTACAGTAGAATTTCCCTGTTTACGCTCATTCTCATAACATTTCGTACTAGAATAATAAGCTTCAGTTATTATCGCAATTATTGGCGCAACTAGGGGGGGGGGATAAACTCTTTGAAGATTATCTATATCTATGGTAGGCTTTTCAGTTATTATCGCAATTATTGGCGCAACTATAGGGGGGTGATAAACTCTTTGAAGATTATCTCTATTTATGGTAGGCTTGTCTGTTAAAAGAAACCACCTCATAATTGGAAAGAGTAAAATGGAATCAAAAATTTTTATACTTTAAAGATAACATTTGATAAAAATATATTTAAAGTTTTTATTGTTTAATGATACACAGAATTATTCATAGAGGATGCGAATTCAGAGACGACTGTACGGATTATTTACTGGCTTTTTCGTTTTATTCATGATCCCCAGTATCTATACAGTTCTTTCTTATTCGTGATTCCCAGTATNTTTCTTATTCATAAATCCCAGTATCTATAAACTTCTTTCTTATTCATGATTCCCAGTATCTATAAACTTCTTTCTATCTTTTCCAAATCATTAAATAAGACATTAAAATACAACAAATAAACTTGGGATAGTCATAACACATTAATTTAATTATTATTCATTTGGTTTACAGTCCCGTTTTGCCTCATAAAGTCTGAATTTGCACTGTACAGCTTGCTCTAGCGGATTAAAAGTCGGTCCGGTTCTCAAGTGTTATCCTGTTGGGCTAAAGGAAATGAGTTTTTGCCACAAATTCTGAGTTTCGAATCCCTATATCTTTGCTGTCTTATGTTGTAAACCTTTGATGTTTCAAACTATCATTATTTGATCTAAAAGAATTCATAGTTTGAAATATCAAAGGTCTTCGACATTGAATTACAAAGAAATAGGGATTAGAAAATCAGAGTTTGTGGCAAAACTCAATTCCTTTGTAATTGTATTTAATTACGTATATAGTGTACAATGATATCTTTAAAATATACATTCAACAAAATATTTGATTACAAATTTCAAATATTGATTTATTTTTAACATTAAAAAGTATATTTTACCCTGAAACTTTGTATTTAAGCATCAAAACAAATCTCGAGAGAGATTTTTTCAACTTCTGTAATTTTTATTTAATTAATATTTAAAAAGAAGAAAAAATTACATACTTGCTTTCTTGTGCTCTAATGCATCCAGGCCTTCCACATACTCCAACCTTTTATATTCCTGTGACGCAATTTATTAGATAGTACCGGTAAAATGCTTGTAAATAATAATATTTTATTTAAGAGATCATCGTAAATTACTATTTCGAAGATTTGAACCAATATTTTTTTTTAAATATCCATTTTTTGTAACAAATCACAAATGTTCAGAAAGAAACTGAACACTCGCATCAAACAAATTCTCTAAAACTTTCAATTTACTCAAACTTTAAACTATCGAAATGTGTACACAGTGGCGTAAATAAGGGGGGTTATTGGGGTTACTTACCCCCCCCCTAGAATCCTTGGGGTAATTACCCTAACAAATACAACTAACCCTTTAAACCTATTCCTTCATATAGGGGCCGGCAGGGATCTAACATGATAATCACGGGCAGCCGTATAGTACATTTGAATTTCCGAGCCGGGTCAACCTTTCCGTTCCCAGCTTGTACTGTACCGCACGGACATTGGCTTAATTAAGCAGACATTCAACAGGACTAGCCGGTGCAACAAGGTGGACGCGGTCAGACTTTATGCTTCATAGTTGTTGAATTTACTTTTACTAAAGGGGCAGAGGTGCGTGTAATGTGAATATTTTATTTTTCTCTAAAAAGATTGTGTAACTTGCGATGGTGGCATATAATCTGTAGATATGCTAAACATGAGAAAACAATTGGCAGAGATTTGCTCCATTCCAGATTTAAGAGAAGTGTTAGTTTTCTTTTTAAAGGATTTCAGTTTTTACCACAAACAAAGTTTGAAATATCAAAGGTTCACACCAACAGGTTGCAAAGATATAGGGATTAGAAAATTTGAGAGTGTGGCAACCACTTAATTTCCTTAAATCTAATTTACCTTTTTTGAGTTTCCCAGCGATATTGGGTCCATGTACTTAAAAATTAAACTCCAAACTTCAGGAGGAAACATACTTTTTTTTCTCTTTTTGTCTATTTGGTATAATACGGACCGACAATGGACATGTATCTTCAATCAATACAAACTTAACACTGCAATTATGGAAAAAATATCAAAATATCAAATGCCAAATGATCAAATGCCTAATTATGGAGTACACACGCAGTACGTTTCAATTAGGTCTACAAGCCAGAAATGTAAACAAATCATAAAAAAACGGAGAGAAAGAGAAAGAGAAAACAAAGAGAAGACGATAAGAGATAAGAGAAGAGAAGAAAAGAGATAAGAGAACAGAAGATTAGAGAAGAGAAGAAAAGAAAAGAGAAGAAAAAAGAGAAGAAAAAAGAGAAGAAAAAATAGAAGAACAAAAAGAAGAAAAGAGAAGAGAAGAGAAAAGAAGAGTAGACAGGAGAAGAGAAGAAAATAGAAGAGAAGAGTAGAAAATGGAAGAGAAGAGAAAGAAGAAAAATAGATTGCGTGAAAGAGAGAGCTTGCATTTTACAGACGTTTTATCAAAAAAGTATGTTTAAGAATACCTTAAACTTTAAAATTAACTTTATTGTAAAATTGTATGATATTTTTGAAAAAAATAGTTGACCTAACTGTTTAGCGTACATTTTTTTGATCATTTAAAGATTTTTGATCATTTGGCATTTGATAATCTGATATTTTTGCCAATTATGCAATATACTTCTTATTTTTCTAAATCAAATCAAATCATGTTTACTGTTAATGTTTTACATGTTCACTCTAAACTTTACTGAGTTAACTTTGCTTTCATTTTCACGGGGCTTTCCTTTCATACCTTAACATAAGCAAACAGAATAATCGTAATATTTTTCAAATGAGTTATAAGCCACAAACTTAAATTATCTAATCTCTATATCTTTGCAATCTGTTGGTGTATACCTCAAGATATTTCAAATTTAGATTATTTCATCTAACAGAATTTATAATTTGAAATATCTTAAAGGTCTACGACATCATCGGATTCCTAGGATATAGGGAGAAGAACATCAGAGCTTGTGGCAAAAACTCAATTTTCTTCTAATTATTTGATTTTACAAAAAAGGAATTGGACTCCTTGTTAAATAAAATACAATGCAAATCTTTACGCTAAAGAAGTATAAAAAGGGGCTGGTATGCAAGGTATAAGACAAAGAAGTATAAAAAGGGGCTGGTATGCAAGGTATAGGACAAAGAAGTATAAAAAGGGGCTGGTATGCAAGGTATAGGACAAAGAAGTATAAAATGGGGCTGGTAAGCAAGGTATTGGACAAATTGTACAGAAAATACTATAAGTACTTTACACTTAGTATCTTACTTAATTCTAATTTCTTCACTTAAAGATGAATTTATCAAACTTTGTTTGGGAATTTTTACTTTTTAAATACTGCTTCGTTGATTTTTAGTCACATGATGTCTTTACGCTTTACAGTACATTTTGGTTTATTGTATTTTAAAGTATAAGATGACACGGTTTTCTTGGAATGTTTGCCTCAGAAGACATGGTTGGGGGGGGGGGGCGGGGGGTTTGAAATTTCTATTTCTAATTTGCTAACACGCGTTGATAATTTTTATGCATATCAACTGTCACTATCCATGTTTTGCATATAAACCTTGCAAACCCCCACAGGGTGGCTGGTTAACATAAAATCCCAAATTTGTATTGCATTAACTTAAGACTCCACGTAAGTCGTCTTTGATCAATTCACTATAAATCCCGCCTGGTGACGGATAGATGAACACCCCACCTGGTGATATTTAGATGAACAACCCTCCTGGTGACGGATAGATGAACACCCCACCTGATGATGTTTAGATGAAGACCCCACCTGGTGGTGGTTAGATCAACACCCCACCTGATGGTGGTTGGATGAACACCCCACCTGGTGGTGGTTAGATGAAGACCCCACCTGGTGGTGGTTAGATCAACACCCCACCTGATGGTGGCTGGATGAACACCCCGCCTGGTGGTGGTTAGATGAACATCCCACCTGGTGGTGGTTAGATGAACACCCCACCTGGTGGTGGTTAGATAAATACCCCATCTGGTGGCGGATAGAAGAAAACCCCACCTGGGGTTGTTAGGTGAACACCCCATTTGGTGATGGTTAGATGAGCAGGAGCACTCCACCTGCTGGCAGATAAATGAACATTAAACACTCCATCAGCCACCTGCTGTTAGGTAAGAGAACATCGAGCACAACTAAATACCCCCCCCCCCCCCCACTGGTGGTGGATAGATGAACAAACTTTTCACCTGGTGACTGATAAATGAGCACCCCATCTGGTGGCGGATAAATCCACACCCCACCTGGCTGTGGATAGATGAACACTCCACCTGGTGGTGGGTTAGATAAACATTTCACCTGGTGGCGGCGGGTATATGAACACCCCACCAGGTGGAGGATAGATAAATACCCCACTTGGTGGCGGGTGATTAAACCCACCACCTGGTGGCGGGCGATTAAACACATCAACTGGTGGCAAGTATTAAAACACACCACCTGGTGGCGGGTGATTAAACACCACCTGGTGGTGGGTGATTAAACACACCACCTGGTTATGGGTGATTAAACATATCACTTGGTGGCGGATGACTAAATCCACCACCTGGTGGCTGGTTGACTTAATCCACCACCTGGGGGCTGGTTGACTAAACAATAATTCTATCTAATCCTATTGTTTGATGAAAGCTCTTGAGTCTGAATAGTAAAATGTTTCACTGATTGGACCAAATTGTCCTCGAATACACCTTTTATCCCTTTTTGTTAGTCTATCCATTGTCTACACACTGACCAAACACCGGACACCATTTCAATCGGTTGGTTGTACAATCAATAGAAATTGGTATCAATTATAATAAAAAATATATAACAAACTCTCCATGTATCCGTTATAGTAGACATTTTTAAGACACCCAAAATTAATAAAATCCCGAAGGCTATAAGGAAAAAGTGATCATGAGCCCATATAGATATTTTGCCGGAGATTTTACTAATATTCTCCGACTTTTTACTGGTGTGATGATCAGCTCTGATTTGACCATTGTTGAAGGAATTGGATAGAATTGTTGAAGCATTGATATTCAACGGAGGGGTAAATTCCTCCTATTATGCATTATGCTGATATTTTTTATATATTTTAGATGTATAGTCCATCCACCAGCTTACACCTAGCTAAAATATATATTATAGATGTATATTCCATCCACTAGTTTACACCTAGCTAAAATATATATTATAGATGTATAGTCCATCCACTAGTTTACACCTAGCTAAAATATATATAATAGATGTATAGTCCATCCACTAGTTTACACCTTGCTAAAATATATATTATAGATGTATAGTCCATCCACTAGTTTACACCTAGCTAAAATATATATATTAGATGTATAGTCCATCCACTACCGCACAACTTTGAGTCTTTCTAACACATATAAAGGAATTGAGTCTTTATCACAAACTCAAATTCTCGAATACATATATCTTTGCAAGCTGATAGTTTAAACCTTTGATATCTCCAAATTTGATCTAACAAAATTCATAGTTTGAAATATCTACGTTCTGTACACATTGGGTTGCAAAGATATATGGATTAGAACATCAGAGTTTATGTCAAAGGCCCAATTCCTTTGTTTGGTTTAAAATGTGAAAATCTAGGATTTTTACTATGAAACAAATACACTTTTATATCACATGTTCTGTTATGAAAGAGGATGGACATTATTTAATATCAAATAGTTTGATACTTTTGTAAAGTTGTATTTGACATGTTACAAAATCACTCCTTTTAAAATCTCCATTTTCATTTTTCGCGAACGCTCCCTATTTAGTGCCATGATGCTTTGCATGAAAATCATAAAAATGAGAAAATAAAAGTAATTAATTGATAAAACAAAATAATAATAAATGAATAAAAATTTCCTTCAGATGATAATTACCAATATTTCTATACAATATTGTTGATTTTTTCTGATGAAATAAAATTTCTCAAAAATATATTGATCAATATTCAATATATAAACATAAATATATAAATATCTGTGGTGTGTATAGTATTGTGGTTGGGTATTGTGTATTTATTATATTAATTTCCTCCACCACTATACAGATTCAGATCCGCTTTGCCCGGGGTGCATTTTCCCCATTCCAATCCCCCACCCCTTTAAACATTCCCCTACCCCCCTTTATACCACCCCCCCTTGTGCACGCCAGGGGCAAGGATTGTATTGAGACACACGCCACCCATTCTTTATCCTTTCCCCTTTATTATGTTCTTTAGAAAAGATCTTTATTTACGAGGGAAGGGGCAGTTATTATCAGAATTTTTAAAATCCAGAAAATAAAAAAGGTCTTGATTTTGTACTGGCATTTCCAAACTTGTCAGATATATACTTAGTTTCTCATCGCATATGAAGATAGAAATAAAGAAATTGCAATCTCTCCCATTTTCATAAAAACAGATCTTTGTTGCATTCTCCTTTACTGTCTGTTGTGGGAACGATAAGCGTGAAAAGTGGCGCCAAGGCCTGGAGCAATTGTTTTATCAAATACAGGAAATAGAAACATTGGAAGAACGACCAGAGTGGTGCAGAGATAGAAACCAGAGAAGAGAAGAGATATAAAGTAGAGTGGAGCAGAGATAGAAACCAGAGAGGAGCAGAAATAAAAACCAGAGAGGAGCAGAGATAGAAACCATAGATGAGTAGAGAAAGAAACCTGAGCAGAGTAAAGATAGAAACCAGAAAAAAAGTAGAGATAGAAACCAGAGAGGAGCAGAGATAGAAATCAGAGAGGAATAAAGATACAAATCAGAGAGAATAAGAGATAGAAACCAGAGCAGAGCAGAGATAGAAAAAAAAACAGAGTAGAGACAGAAACCAGAGCGGAGTAGAGATAAAAACCAGAGTAGAGTAGAGATAGAAACCAGAGTAGAGTAGAGATAGAAACTAGAGCAGAGTAGAGATAGAAACCAGAGTAGAGTAGAGATAGAAACCAGAGTAGAGCAGAGATAGAAACCAGAGTAGAGTAGAGATAGAAACCAAAGAAGAGTAGAGATAGAAACCAGAGAGGAGTAGAGATAGAAACCAGAGAGGAGTAGAGATAGAAACCAGAGCGGAGTAGAGATAGAAACCAGAGTAGAGCAGAGATAGAAACCAGAGTAGAGTAGAGATAGAAACCAAAGAAGAGTAGAGATAGAAACCAGAGAGGAGTAGAGATAGAAACCAGAGAGGAGTAGAGATAGAAACCAGAGCGGAGTAGAGATAGAAACCAGAGTAGAGCAGAGATAGAAACCAGAGTAGAGTAGAGATAGAAACCAAAGAGGAGTAGAGATAGAAACCAGAGAGGAGTAGAGATAGAAATCAGAGCGTAGCAGAGATGGAAACCAGTGTAGAGAAGAGATAGAAACCAGAGTAGAGTAGAGATAGAAACCGGTAGAGCAGAGACAGAAACCAGAGAGGAGTAGAGATAGAAACCGGTGTGTACTGCAGTGACCTGCAATAAAAGAAGAAATAGTGTGGTTTAGTGGAGTTTGTACCCCTACAAAGACTACCTGGTGTCCACGCAGGTTGACCCCACATCTGAGTATTATATTTTAAACCTGAGGAGGCACTCGAGATAATGAAGGGTATAGCTGTCACTAATAAATAATTAGAATATCCATCAGACCTTTAAATATTTCTATGAAGTTTTAACATTTTTACTTAAAACTGAAAAATTTATCGTTTTTAAAAGTTTCTTTCAAAAAATATTGTAGAAATTCTGGATTGGTTTTAGAATTTTTGAAATATATTTTCCCCTGCGGGAATGTTTGAGAAAGCTAATCCCTCTGCATAGTATATGTATATTATATATATATTCAGTATAAACTCAGTTTCTATCTATCTATAGCCGGCTAGTAATGACATCGGTCAGTCGTTCTACTTACTTCCTGTATGATACATATAGTATCATGTATACAAATACAGATTAATATTGAGAGGAATATACACTTCCTGTATTATACATATAATGTCATGTTTACAAATACAGATTAATATTGAGAGGAATATACACTTCCTGTATTATACATATAATGTCATGTTTCCAAATACAGATTAATATTGAGAGGAATATACACTTCCTGTATGATACATATAATGTTATGTTTACAAATACAGATCAATATTGAGAGGAATATACACTTCCTGTATTATACATACATATAGTGTCATGAATATAAATACAGATTAATATATTGATATAAATATACAATTCCTGTATGATACATATAGTGTCATGTATACAGATACAGATCAATATTGAGAGGAATAAACACTTCCTGTATTATACATACATAATACATATAGTGTCATGAATATAAATACAGATTAATATATTGATATTAATATACCATTCCTGTATTATACATATACTGGCATGAATATAAATAGAAATTAATATTGATATAAATATACAATTCCCATATGATACATATAATGCGATGTTAACAAATACAGATTAATATTGATGTAAATATAGTGCCATGTAAAAAATGTATTTTTTTGTTTATAAAATAAAAACATTTAGATATTTAAATTTACTTCGCTTACTTCGTTTGAGTCAAATAAACAATTTTTAATCATCGTATAAAAAATATTGTCGATAATCTAAAACTTTTTTCAAAATTTTCAGAAACAATTGTTGGTAAAAATAATATAAAATAGTTTGGAAAATTAAAAATCTAAAATTGTAAAAAAGATCAGAATATCAAAATGGAGGCGATACCGGAGAAAGAACTAAAAATCATCTATTCCCAAGATAAAACAGGTTAAGATTAAGTGCAACTTTTGGCTTGCATGCATTGGCTGCGTAAATTATCTCGAAAAAGTAATTGCAATTTAATTATTACTGCATTTTCTACATACATAATAAAGCTCTTAGCTCATAAATATTTATACATACGTTCGATATATATCTGTCCAGACAGCTGGAATATGTTCGATATATATATGGCCAGACAGATGGAATATGTTCGATATATATCTGGCCAGACAGCTGGAATATGTTCGATATATATCTGGACAGACAGCTGAAATATGTTCGATATATATCTGGCCAACCAGCTGAAATATGTTCGATATATATCTGGCCCACCAGCTGAAATATGTTCGATATATATCTGGCCAACCAGCTGGAATATGTTCGATATATATCTGGCCAAACAGCTGGAATATGTTCGATATATATATCTGGCCAGACAGCTGTAATATGTTCGATATATATCTGGCCAACCAGCTGAAATATGTTCGATATATATCTGGCCAACCAGCTGAAATGTGTTCGATATATATCTGGCCAACCAGCTGAAATATGTTCGATATATATCTGGCCAACCAGTTGGAATATGTTCGATATATATCTGGCCAAACAGCTGGAATATGTTCGATATATATCTGGCCAACCAGCTGGAATATGTTCGATATATATCTTGCCAACCAGCTGAAATATGTTCGATATATATCTTGCCAACCAGCTGAAATATGTTCGATATATATCTGGCCAGACATCTGGAATATGTTCGATATATATCTGGCCAAACAGCCGCATGACCATGAGTTTCACTAGCAATGAAGCGCGGGTAAACGGCAGGAGTAACTATTGGCTATGAATAATAATATAACCTGGGCAACACCAAGCACTCTCTGCAGCTAGTAATCATATGTGTATGTAAAAAAATTAGTTGCCGTTTGATTTCAATACATTGTACACACATTGTACACACATTGTACATAATTACAAATGCATGCAAACCAATGAGAAAAAGCAGTTTTCAGAAAATGTTCATTAATGTACAGTATTTTCTGAATTTCCACCTCTCTTATTTTCCTTTTTAATTGTTGCTTAAATGCCCTTTTTTTGATTGTATAAATCCGTGTTTTATATCATTTATTTACAACTAGAAGGTATTATTATACTTCTAAAACCTTTTCTGTTATCACTTTGTATAATTTGTTCCTATTTTTCAAATGTTTATGAGATAATTTACAAAATATTTTTGACATTACGCTTGCTATTTTAACAATTTTACTGCACTATTTTTAGATTTAACATGTTTTTTGCTACCTGACTTTTCTACATGTTCTCATTTTACTATTTGAAATTTTTGCATTTCTTGCAACTTGAAAATTGCTCTTTCAGATTTGCATTAATATTTCCTCTCCGAAGTATTTACATCTTTATGCCTTAAATATAGAACTTTCCTTGACATTTCTGCAATTTATGTTTCTTGTTCCGAACAGACATGGCCGGCTGAGATATAAACATGAACAGGGGATATTTTATCAGTGAGAATTGAGATTACTTGCCGCAAATTCTGATCATAAATTCTTATTATATCTTTGCAACCAGATGGCGTGATTTTTTTTTCAATTCACGCTTCATACTTTGAAGAATCACAGCGTTAATAAACAGGTTAAAAGGATATGATTACTCGCCTTAAACTCTAATTTTCTAATATATAATTAGTTTTTCAATCAGAGTCCAAAACTAAAGAACGAAAAGTTTTGACTTAAATTTTAAGTTCATGGTTAAATGCCACTTCTGACTTAATTTAAACCTGAACGTTAACCGTGAGGTTAAATATTTAACCCTCCCTGTGGTTAAATATCTAACTCGCCGAAATCGACGAGTTAAAATTTAAACACAGGTTTAAATTATCTTAAAATCTTGCGTTTTCCCTATTTGTCTATTATTCAATCATCATTCAGCTGCAGCTGAGAAAACGGCATTCAACTTAACGATATATTTAAAAATGAAAACCTTGTTAAAGAAATTTCACGTTTTAGATAAATTAATTTCTGGATGTAAACCCAAAAAACGGTTGTATGTTTTGTTTTCAGTTACGTAAGAACAGCTGATTAGCGATGGTTATGTAATATTCTCCGTAAATCCTTTTCTCTGATTGGTTCAGATTTTCCCGGGAAATTCAAATTTAAAATTGAGAAAGTTTAATATTTAAATAGCTATTCATTATTTTACAGAACTTTTAACCTCGAACTTAAAATTCGCGCATTCTTTAGTTTTAGACTCAGGATGGCATTTTTTTCATTTCACGTTTCATGTTTTGAAGAATTGCAGGGTAAGCCAGACATAAATATTAGAAATGATATGATTACTCGCCTTAAACTCTAATTCTTTAATATCTTTGCACCTGTAGATTTTTATATTTCATATTTTATCAATTTGATTTAGCAAAATCATTAGTTTAATGACATTAAAAATGTCCAATATCTCTGCACTCTATCTAAATTATGAAATCAAAAAATCACTTATGTTCAAGCAAAAATCGCTCATTCAACTCTTTGCTGTCAAATAAGCGATTATTTGTTGAATATGAGCGATTTTTTGCCATCAGGTTGGAAAGGTTTGTATTAGAAAAGATTTATTTTTAGCTGGAATTACTTGTCAATGACATCGTGCTTAAACTTTTTATGTAATCGATCAAAATATGGTCTGCTTTCAAAATTACCAGAGATATTATAATAATTTTGTTCAGATTTTAATTTATTGAACAAAACCACGAAATCGTCTAATTGTGCAAAAAAAAATCATTCGTATCTCCGATAATTATAAAAAGCAAGAAAAGGTACACCACATTTTTGGGAAAGTCACACCAGGGCTATTTTGTGATTATTGTTTCATGAAAAATATTGCTAAAATTAATTTGGCTGCTAAATAAATACCGCAGTTTATACATCTAAGGTCAAAGACGACTTTCAAGTCTTCACTGAATTCACAAATTATTCCAGTTGATTAAGAACAGCACTTTATAGGACAAGGAGGTATAACTTGGGACCTGGAGAAGAATAATATCTACGGCAGATATATGGTTGCTTTAAGGTAAATATAGGAAGACGGCATTTTAACAATATTATGTGTGTTTGATGTTGTTAAAAACTTAAAAAGCAAAAGGTTTAATTAGTAACTAGAAAACCAACTTATTTAGAGATATGGGTGTATACACACACTGCCCAATTTCAGGACCTAATGTTGATATAACTCTTTAAAAACCTGGCAGTCGTTTTTCTAGTCCACACTCTTATGAGTTTTCTAGTCCACAGTTTTATAAGTTTTCTAGTCCACAGTTTTATGAGTTTTCTAGTCCACACTCTTATGAGTTTTCTAGTCCACAGTTTTAGGAGTTTTCTAGTCCACAGTTTTATGAGTTTTCTAGTCCACAGTTTTATTGGGTTTCTAGTCCACAGTTTTATGAGCTTTCTAGCCCACAGTTTTATGAGTTTTCTAGCCCACACTTTTATGAGTTTTCTAGCCCACACTTTTATGAGTTTTCTAGTCCACACTTTTATGAGTCTCACTGTACAAAAGCTTGGAAAATTAACAAAATAAACAAAATTTCTTGTTTTTAGATTAAAAACTTAATGAAGCTAAATAAACAATACAGTTGGAAAACTTCCATGATACCAGGCTTCCATCAATACCAAAAAGACCGTTTTAACTTTTTTGCTCAAGGTCCAAATATAAGGCGTGCATACTAATAAAATGTCTGACTGGACCTTGTAAATGAATAAATTTTAGAGATATAAATCCTGGAGAACTGATCTTCCAGGAAGTACCCCTGGTTTTTGGACCCAGTGTGTACAACCCTGTACTAATATGCCTGGGCTGTACAAGGTAAACATTCCGGCTATAAAATTAGTATTGCCATAAATTATTGTATTTTTCTCTTTTAAATAGGTAAAAATAAGAAACTTTATATCAAGGATGCCGTTCTTATTTAAGTTGTAACATTGTGGTTTTAGAGGGTGAAGAGCAAAATTTAACTATTTGCAAGAAAGCGTACATTCTCAATCTGTTCTGTAGTGCAGTGTACATGATTAAAGAAATAAATGTATATCTGCAGACTATCTTTGATTCTTAACATTTTAAAGAGATGAGAAACTATAAAAGTAAACTGGTTAAGATTTTGCACTCTTTAAACCTTTGAGGTTACATGAAAATGAGATATATTAGTGATCTTATTGGCGAAAGCACAAGGGATTCGACCAATGAGAAATCGATAAACATTATGCAAGATGAGAACGAGTTAAACTTATTATAATCATCAAAAGTCCTAACTCAGACTTCTCCAGGCACATGATTGATGATGTTGGATGTGTGAAGTGTGGCTGGCCACTGTGCAGCGAGAAATGTCCTCTGCTGTCAGTACACAGAACAGCTGAGTGCACGCATCTCGCAAAATATAGGCAATCATTCCAACCTTTTATTCATAATTGTAATTGTAGACGACATAGCATAGGCTTCCTTATTTGAAATAGCTTTAGATTTAGTTGACCTAAGCTGGAGAATCTTGTATTGTGGATTTCGCCGCTATTAATTTATTCTTTGTCTAATATCCAGAAAAAGTGTCTTAAATTCAACAAATCAAATGTCGTTTGCAGAAACCTAACTGCCAATAAATTTTAAGCGCAGTCGAATCCCAGTCATCCCATGCAGGGATATCCAAAAGAGAGGATTAAGCATTAAATTGATTGTCTTAAGTCAGGATTAAGTGAACAGGATTAAGTGAACAGGATTAAGTGAACAGGATTAAGTGAACAGGATTAAGTGAACAGGATTAAGTGAACAGGATTAAGTGAACAGGATTAAGTGAACAGGATTAAGTGAACAGGATTAAGTGAACAGGATTAAGTGAACAGGATTAAGTGAACAGGATTAAGTGAACAGGATTAAGTGAACAGGATTAAGTGAACAGGATTAAGGGTATCCAACACAAGAGTTTTCACAATCATACAATCATACAATCATACAATCATACAATCATACAATCATACAATCATATAATCATACAATCATACAATTATACAATCATACAATCATACAATCATACAATCATACAATCATACAATCATACTGTGGAAATTTTGTAATTTAATTGAAATATTTAAAAGATTATTTTAGTTACAGGTTTCTACAGGAAATTTTTAATTTAAAATAAGAAATCTTTCTAATGTTTGGATAAAGAACTAAGGAGATCTGTGTAAATTTCAATTTAGACATATTTATAAATCTAATAAGATAAAATCCTCAATTTAAAAGTTCCAGCTTAAGATTAAGTGAGCTTTCAAGTGACCCTCCTTTGAAGATGTACATGTCTGATTCACACGAAACCCCTTTATAAAACCTATGTATATTTCCTTACATATCTGTAAGTTATTTTTATTGGAGAGAATCCGCAGAAAAAAATGTATTTAAAAAACCCTGAAAATCCATCATTATTGCATTGACAAAGGTTCAAAGGGTATAGGGTACCACTTTTTGAATTTCGAGAAATAATTCTCTTTAACGGGAGTTTACGCCAATAATTCCTTTAAGAAAGATATTACGATTGTGTTGAGAATGAGTTTATAAATATAACTAGTGGAGAACTACGAGAATCCGGAGAATTCGACTTGAACCTTCTCAATTCTATTCTTTACATCAGAATTATTCTGCTGAAAAACTGCAATAAGGTATTTTTTTACATTTTTAAAGTTTATCCACATCATATTTACGGTTATTTTCTACGGAGATCTCAGCTTTGACGTCTTCGAAATGATTGCTAGTTTGTTTTTTGTTTAAACGTGTCTGGACCTGGTTCCGTTTTTTTTAAAACTAGGATGCTAGGGATTGGTTTAATTATGCTTGATTAAAAGGAAGCTTAGTTCCATTTTGTTTGATAAAAATCAAATGAAATGATGCCAGGAACCGGTTCTATTTTCTTGGAATTTTAGGATGCCTGGAATCGGTTCCACGTGCTAGATTCTATGCTAGAAGCGTGGAAAGAAACTGGTTTTGAAGATGAGAACGAAAACATTAAATTGATCCGTGACAAATTTGGTATAAAGATTTGCTCAGAGGAAGAAGTTCTAACTGTGATATCAACATGCTCAACAAATGCTTTCAGGTCATTTTTAAATGTTTTATTTTTCTAAATTTTAATTTTCTTACAAGTAATTTGAATAGTTTGATTAATTTGACAAATAATACTTATCCAATATTTCCCCAAATTAACTAATATCTGAATAACTTAAAAAGAACGATTAATGTTTTCCTGTTGCAGCAAGTACCTGGAGCCCGGCTTGATAACTTCAGAACCTGACAAAGGCCCAGGACTGCTTGGAACTACGGCTCTTGTATCTCCTAGACCCGGAGAAGCACCGGGACGGGTTGGAACCAAGGCTCGTGTAATGTTCCTTCTCTCTAGTATGATGTCACACAGCTGTTTTCCTAATGCGGAGCAAACTATTGGCTCCCAGGTAGGTTCAGATAATCAGATTTAATTCATTGCAGGATATAGGAACTGATTACTCGCGACAGACTCTGATTTTTAATCATTATATCTTTATTCTTTGCAACCTATAGTCTTTGAAATACAAAGACACACTTCTCCTAGCCTGCATATCAGTGGAATAGGAAGACGGCTATTAATTACGGTTTTTAATTTTCAAATGAACATGAAACATATCAGTTGTACAGTGTACAGTGTACACTGTACAGTGTACATTGTTTAATGTGTACAGACCCATTTCATATAATAAGTTGATTTTTTAATAGATGCTAACTAATTGCTTTATAACAACGTGAAATACAGGCAAGGTTGCATAAATGTCATCTTCATAGTCATTGTTTTTAAGGTGGATGGTATGCAGTTTGAGTTGAGAGCCACGAGACCAATTTTAAAAGGGGAACAGATCCAAATTAGGTAAATTTCTATTATTGTGTTTCGTCTTTGTTTCTTTAAAGTTGATTGCAACCTTATATGTACAATTTTTTGTCATTCTTTAAATATCACTAGGATTTTAATGCGATTTAATTATTGTTGATGGATGATCAATCCCTTTAATTTCAAATCAAATAAATAAATGATCAAATGTTGATTGATTTCTATTTTTTCAGCTATGTTGATCTCCTTGAACCAACCCTGATCAGACAATATAATCTTCTCAAGAATAAACTTTTTGTCTGCTCTTGTATCAGGTATAGTATAGATGGTAAAGAGGGTAGAGAGAGTAGAGAGGGTAGATAGGGTAGATAGGGTAGAGAGGGTAGAGAGGGTTCTCTAGGTGTATATTATACCATGTTTTTTAGGTGTATATTAAACCATATTATCTAGGTGTATATTAAACCATGTTCACTAGGTGTATATTAAACCATGTTATCTAGGTGTATATTAAACCATATTCACTAGATGTATATTAAACCATGTTCTCTAGGTGTATATCAAACCATGTTCTCTAGGTGTATATTAAACCATATTCACTAGATGTATATTAAACCATGTTCTCTAGGTGTATGGATCCCAGGGAGCTGGGTTCGAATTGTGGAGTTGTAAAGTGCTTGTCTTGCATTAAGCAAGGAACTCAACCCCCAGGAGAACTCTTATCTTCGACCAAGGTATATCCTCTTAATATTCTTTAATACTACCCCCCCCCCATTACATTTTCTCTTTAACCGATTTATTTTCCATACATCCTGGATTCTTTCCTGAATGATACATGGTGTTAACTGTTTTAAGTATGTTGGAAGTATTCTCAAATTTGCAAATAAATTTCGCGAAGACCGAAGAATTATTTCCTAATCTAAAGTGGTGGATTGATTCCCATGTGTAGAACAAGGAAGATGCATAAGAAACCACGAGTCTCTGTTTACATAAAAAGTGTACTGCAGTATTTCAAAACTTGGTGCGGCTCAGAGTCCGAAACTTAAGACAGAGTATCGTCTTGAAATCCAGTATCAGAAACCCGGTTTCAAAAATGAGGTTACGCAGAATTTTTTAGATATCAATATGTATTTAGAAATCACATTCTCTTTTTGTTTTCTGAGTTCTTCAATTAAATCAATCTACGCAAATGTAAAGACCCTAAACAGGAAAGTAGAGAGTTTCGGTAAACGAAACGCTCTTAAAGTTCCCGCTCAGGCTGAATTTATTCACATTACATCATCCTTAAATTCATCCCAGAAACTTACACTTTTTAAAACAAAGGATGATAGTGGAGAATGACCATAAGATGAACTTCAATAACGTGTACTGCAGTTTCTGGGAGAAATATAAACAAAACACTGTTTACAATCCTCTCAGACAATGCAGTACATTTTATTTTAGGAGAGTTCCTCTTATATTCCTTGATACGTGTGTTCCTCTATAGTACACAGCCTCCCATATCATATTAGATTATCTCCAAATAGATTATCAAGTACAAGAGGTGGCAACAGAGAAATGGATCAATTATACACAACGTCACAAATGTCAATTATAACAAGAAATAGAAATTTTCTCACATTAGCTGTCATGTTTTCCTAGATTAAATAGAAAAGTGTAAAAACAGAAAATGAAGAACACATAAAACTGCAGTTATTTTACTGTAAAATAAGCTCTTTTTTCTAAAATTATCACAATTATTAAAAATTATGTCGGATACAAAAACTAAGTTGACACTTGTGACGTAAGAATACAGCTGCATACTTTACCTTCTATTGTAATAGAATCTTTTTGGATTATCTCCAAGCTTTAACGATAAAATACACAAAAATACGCAAAAACACTAGTATTTTCTGCATGTAAATCTTAAGAATAAACCTTATTCAATTTCTTAAAGTTTTAAATTTTCTAATTAGTCCGGAAAATCGCTATTTAGAGCTATAAACGATCCAAAATGATTTGGGATACCATGTATTTTCTTTGTATAGGATATGTGTGTCTGGACGTGCAGCAGGTGTGGTGTCAACTCCTCCTTCACTAAGGTGAGGAACCTCATGTTCAAGATCAACGAGGAGGTCCAGGACCTCGTCAACACACCCTCCACTACCATACAGGTAGGGGAATATAATAATAATAATAATAATAATAATAATAATAATAATAATAATAATAATAATAATAATAATAATTATAATGATTTTCAATTTTGAAATCTTGAGAATCTGTCTGGTATACAAACAAAAATGATTACCGGTTTTAAAACAACATTAAACATATAAAATCATTTTGAAATACAGGGAGACTGATAAAACTGTGGAATAGGAAAACGAATGTTAGAAACACAGCAATTTTTCATTGTACAATGTATATAGATCCATTTCCAAGCTACTGGTTAAAATATTCGCTTCAAATACACTTAAGATTGATGAAATGTCGTCTTTCTTTTCCACAGTTTTATGGGCCCGACACACTGAAGTTCATTTTAAACATTTGAAAAACTAAAATGTGAATGGTAGGAGTATGAAAAGTTCCTCGGTAAGTATGGCAAGATCTTGAATCCTAAGAATGGCCTGCTCCTCAAATCCAAATACCAGCTCTGTGGAATGTATGGTCGGGTCCCCGGGTACACACTCTCAGGTAAGATTTTTTGTTTTTACTTTTTTGAAAAAGTGCTATGAGACAGAATCATTATAATACATTAGACAATCAGTAGAATCCATCTTCTCATCTTGTCTTTGCTCATGACTTTTTGAACACCTGCTGAACCTGTCTGACCAGAGGTGTATACAGGAGTTCGTCCCGCGGGGCCTTTGTTTTAGTTTCTAAGGGGGCTATGCACCTATTAGAATATGAAAACCTCAAATTTAATGGATCCCGGAGGGTCTTGGCCCCAATAACCCCCCCCCCCACACTGTATAATACGCTTCTGTCTCTTACAACCTCTCGGCTGAAAGATCTCTTGGTTCCTTGTCAGAAACTGAAGAGTTTGATGAGAGGCTTTGCAGTGCTTCGCAGCACTGTCGGTTGCACCACGTGAAGGCTCTCTCTTGGCAACTTGAATAATACACATAATACACATTGAAACCAAGGTGCTCCCTCTAGAAATACACAGCAAAATGATAACTAAACAATACCTCGCATCAACCCACCTACCTGATCACCCTGGTAATAAACACCTAAACAGACCTCAACCCCCTCGTCAAATGAAACTACAAAATCCATGAACATCTACACAGAAGAGGTTACACACAGATTCAGAGAACAAGAGCCAACCAAACAAGATTATAAAAGAGTCCTCAAAGACATACACACAGAAACAGTCAGGAAAACCATTCAACAATACTCTGAAAATCGCATCCTCGGCCAGGATTATAACCCCCCTCCTCCAATCAATCCTGATGAAATTAAACTCACAAGAATCGCCAGATCAAGACTCTCCCAACTCAGGAGTGGCTTCTCAAGACTCCTTAATTCCTACCTCAACCGATTAGATGATAAAATTGAAAATAAATGCCCCAAATGTGAAACCACACCTCACGATACAAACCAACTTTTTAATTGCCATGCAAATCCAACCAGCCTTCCATTACCAGCCTATGGACCCACCCTATAGAAGCCTCAAATTTCCTTGGACTGGAAAAACTCGAAGATCCTGACCCAAGATGAAGCTACAACAACAACAACAACCTCTCGGCTTGGTTTATAAAATTTCAAGTTTTCATAGTTTTTATTCTGGTCGTGTTAATACAAATCTTCTTGTATTCCTAGAAATTTATATAAACTAACTTTTTGGTTGTATAAACGAATCTTACAAACTTAGCCAAGATTTATTTATTTTTGTTAAAGTTGCATTCCTACAGCCTAGCATAGCAGAGCTCTGCTAGAAAGCTCTCTGCACTATTTGCAGTGGACGCTGAGAAAGGTGTCTGCACATATGGAGGGAGGGAAGGCGCCAAGGGGTCCTGAACCCTGTGCTCAATTAGCAATTAATATGATTCATTACCAGATCTGTCTCCTGAACTGTTAGAACGGAAAAGAAATATTTGTGAAGATATTTTTGAAACATTGAACATTCTTCAACCTGGTAGAACGAGTAGGAGAGGTAGGATATATATTCCTGGTAGAACTAGTAGGAGAGATAGGATATATATTCCTGGTAGAACTAGTAGGAGAGGTAGGATATATTCCTGGTAGAACTAGTAGGAGAGGTTGGATATATATTCCTGGTAGAACTAGTAGGAGAGGTAGGATATATATTCCTGATAGAACTAGTAGGAGAGGTAGGATATATATTCTAGTAGAACTAGTGGGAGAGGTAGGATATATATATATATATATATTCTAGTAGAACTAGAAGAAGAGGTATAATATATACTTTATTATATATATCATCATAAATATATTTATTTGTGATTCGTCAAATTGAATTTCACATATTTTCGAATATTTACATATTCACAATGTCATACCATTTGATTAATAACCTTTTTTATATTTTTGTAAAAACTAAAATCAAAATTATATTTTATTTAGGATTAATATTATATGAGCTTCACGCCAGTTTAATCCTGGCCGGTCGGACCAAACTCCAGACTGACCGGAAAGCTGGTGTATCTGATCTCAAGCTTGGATTGAAGTATCTCCAGGAGTCCCTGGAGATACTGAAAACTGAACCTAGGGGAACCCTGTCCTATAAAATATATCAGGGGGGTCAGGAGTCATTGTCCCAAGTTCAACAATTTGTTATTTCTTTTTTATAATTTATTAATGATCTAAAACATGGAGTTGCATAATGTTCAATGTTAAGGAACCAAACCTAATGAATAGCGAGAGGTGGTTGAACTACGTAGAATATGTTGAACCACTTTATCTTGAACCAGCTTCTCTGGAGAAGAGGTTCAACGTGGTCAACGTCATTGAACAATTCTAATAATTTATTTTATTTTCTCCAAGGTTTGATCATTTCAATCTCATTCAATCGGCATTTGATCAGTGATTTAAGTCATCCAAAAATGATGAATAAAATGAATTAAGTCTTTACCACAAACTCTGATTTTCAAATCCCTATATATATCTTTGCAAACTTATGGTGTAACCAATTGATATTTCAAACTTAGATTATTAGATCCAACAGAATTTATAGTTTTAGACATCTAACGTCTACAACACTGGGTTAAAAAGATAGGATTAGAAAAATCAGAGTTTGAGGCAAAGACTAAATTTTTTGAGAATTATACTGGATCATTTGAATCACTGATCAAATGCCGATCAATTCAAGAAGCATTGATGTGTTTTGTTATTAATTTATTAATGTCAATGTAAACTTTATGCTTTAGTTTCTAAAATAAAAGAAATGCAAAATATTTTCAACATAAAAACAATAAAAGCGTTTGTTTCAATTGCTTATTTGTATACTTATACTATTTTATATATGTTATATATTTTTTAGCTAAAGGGCACACATTGCATGGTGTATCTAATTTTCCAACATCATAATTATATTTCTTAAATTTCAATTCTCTATTTTAAAACAATTATCTTTAGAAAACTCAAAATTGTGTGAATTCATGGATAGTAAAAGATAATGAAATAAAACATAAAATGAATGAAGCTTGAGTTTGTTTTGTTGGAAAGAATGGAAATTCAAGAATTAGTCTCACATTGTTATTCAATGAAAAATATTCATATCTCTGTAACTACCTTTACTCCCCTCCGGCCTACCTTCCCATTTCTCCTTCTACCGGCACAACATCTCCTAATTTTCCTGATTACGATTCTACAATATTTTTTATAAATAAGTTTTCTTTCTATATTTTTCCTTTTATTTCAGTTCAATATTCCTAAAAATGTAAAATTCCTATAAAGAAGTTTAAAACCCTCAGAGTAAGAATTCCGCCTAATAAAGTGAGGAATTAGAAAATTTTATTAGTAAAGTTAAGTTGATCAATGTTCTAAAACGTACAGAGTGTATGATAAAAAATCCTAAAGAAAGAATTAAAAAAAAACTGGAAAAAATTCAACTTAAAGTTTAGTTCAGTTTTGAAATTCTTGCTTGCGTCGATACCAAGTAAGTAATTGAGCCTTTGCCACAAACTCTGATTTTGTAATTCTCAGATATTTCAAACTATAATTCTGATGGATGAAATAAACTAAGTTTTAAATATCTAAGGACTTATTTCCTTTGGTCATAATCCAAAATATGTTTAGTTACTACAAATATTATTTCTATTTTACAAACCTAAATTTATAAGATAAATGATTTAATTTTTTTCTCCAAAAAAGTCTTTTTCCGACTAAGGAATTGAGTTTTTGCCACAAACGAAAATTTTCTAAACCCTATATCTTTGCAATCTGATAGTGTAATCAAACACTATCAGATTGCAAAGATATAGGGATTAGAAAATTGATATTTCAAACTTCGAATATTTGATCTGACAAAATTCATAGTTCGTTTGAAAAATCAATGGTCGTTGGAATAAAATAATCAAAGTTTAATGGAAATACTTATTTCCTTTGAGAATAAAAGTTCATTGGCATGGATGCATTCGGTTTCTTCATTAATTTGAATGCTCTTTAATCCAACAATCTTTAATATTCGGAGTTGACTTATTTTACTTTTTAAATTCAAAACGCATCCACCGGCATAATAGAAAATGTTTATTAGGTGAAAACACTGCAAACTAGACAGTTGGACAGCGTCAAATTTATGTGAAATCAGTGGTTTGACTTTGTGACCTCGTAGCTCCTCTTGTTTTTGTTTTTGGCACAGTATGAGAAAACAAAATCATCCGGCCGGCTACATATTAGAAATTTAACACATTTTTCTTCTTCTCAATAGGTCTTTAATAATAGGAGTTATGTTGGAAAACATTAAACAAATCAATCTTGGGCTAAATTTATTTTAGTTTGAATTGAAAATTGTGATCAGCGAGTGAAATTAAAAAAGATAAAAACTGAGATTTAGATTTGTTTTGTTATGTTTTCTTAAATAGCTTTGTTTTTTTTTTCCCCATAAAATCTCCTAGAAAAGACACGTGTCTCCCCCTGTGCAGTGTAAATATAAAAACTGTATTGATTATGATTATTTTAATCCAAGTTTTGTTGAACTTTAAACCTTGGACCCGTGTGTTTATATAATAATGAAGTTATATTGTAAACCTATGAACGGATTAATGATAATAAATGTTGTTCTTTGTTTATCGTAAATCATATATTAATGTTTATACTTTACACTCCTGTAGCTTTATGTGTAAGAGGACGGATAACAATGCAGGATCAATTTTAAATGCTCAGAGAAAAAGGAATTATCACATTAGGCAACAATTATTATTTTACAGTCTTTTTGAATTTTAATATAGAAGAGACTAATAGGCCGGATAGGATATGACAGACGTAAGATTGTCTGGTTAGGGAGGAGAGAGAGGGTTAGGAAATTTGATAGTTTTTAATAGAAAGGAACTGAGTTTTTAACACAAAATAGGATTTTTTAAATCCCTATATCTCTGCACCCCGATTTCGTTATAGAACACCTTTGATAATTCAAACTTTGAATTCTGTCAGATCAATTATTCTAATTTTAGAATATAAGGTTTAACCCTATTCCCGCTGGGGGGGGGGGTCAATTTGACCTCTCCCTGTAGTTTTTTTTTACATTACTCAAAAAGTATTGGTCTGAGGCTGTTGAAATTTTCTGACTTTTCTTACATACCCAAAGCCCTCCCTTTAGGCCTAAAACCGGGCTTTAATACTAACTGCCTGAGTCCTCAGGCACACTGCCTGAATGACTGCTTTTGCCTGTAGCAAACTAAATCTTTGTTTTGACCCACTTTCACTTGTCAGATTTTGATAAAATTTAGCTTTTTGGAAAGCCTATGACATAAGGAAACGGATTGCCCAAGTTTTGCGAAAAAAAATTGCAAATTTTTTGCAAAAAACCTGTCAAAGAAAATTTGCACATTTTTAGTTTTTCTTGATTAAAAATCAGGTTATTTGAAATTTTGCAAAAATTTTTGCATATTTGAAATGGCATGGTTAAGGGCTTTTCAAAAATGTATAATTTGTCATTTTTTGGACAAATTTTTTTTTGCAAACATTTTTACTATAAAACTGGATTTTGCGATAAAAAATTCAATTTTCGCAAATTTGCAAATTTTTTTGCAGATTCTAAAAGTAGAGCACAAGAGCTTTCTAATGATGTATCATTTGTCATATTTGGACATAAAACATGGGATTTAGAGGGGGGGGTCAAATTGACCCCCCCCCAGCGTATCCTGGTTTTCAAGTACCCCAGCGGGGATAGGGTTAACAGATATAGGGATTAGAAATCCTCTTCGATATCCCATGATGGTCATGTAATTCTGTTGGGATCTTTAATTAAAGGATCAATCAAAGCTCCTATTGGATATCGAGATCGATCAAGTGTTCAAAATGAACGATATCCACGTACATAAAGTTCCAATAAGTCTTGGGTAGTGATGTTTCTTTCTTTAAATTTATAGTGTATACCCATGCAGTGATGATACAGCTGCCTATGCTTATTAAGGGGAGGGGGTTAGTCTTACCTCTCCAACCAATCGAATTCGCCCTTGCACATATCCTTCATTCGTCCGTCTATTCGATCTTCCTACGTCGAAAATACTTTTGTCTTTCATTGCCAATTATGCCTCTTTAGTGTTTTCAATTATTAAGAGTAATTCTCTGTTTACAACTTCCTCACAAGAAAAGGGTTTTCTTTGCTTCATTTCAACCAATTACCATCGAGGAGGAAGTGAGCCGACCAATCAGAGGCAAGAAATAAAAGTGGCGGCTGGCTCTGGCGGCATTCAAAAATAAGAGAGCGAGAGATTGTGAGTTTCTTAAATTCCTTAATTGTGTTCACTCAAGGTTTGGCATCAGACCGGAGAACCAGGACTAGGAATAGAAAGGATCAGCTCTGGGACAAACAAAGTTCTAAAGACAGTGAAATGTCCACATTTCAAAAATATTTAAGAATAAAGCTGAGTAACTCAAACTAGTGAACAAATTCAACAACACAAATCTGAGATTTTAAAACCTGTAAACTCTTAAAGCCTAGTGATATTTCGGTAAAAATATGGGTCCTGGACTCAAGGATGATCATATTAAGAGACCAATGAATGCCTTCATGGTTTGGTCCAGGGGTCAAAGGAGAAAAATGGCACAAGAAAACCCAAAGGAACCAAATTAAGAAAATTTAAAAAACAAAATTCTTTTTATGTTCTCTTTAATCAAAGATTTGAATATATACGTATTATAATATGTATTTCATGAAATCTACGAGTAAAACTACAAGTTTGATAACTACTTAATTACACAATTAAAGAAATTAAGTCTTTGCCACAAACTAGTATTTTCGAATCCCTACCTTTGCAACCTGACGGTGTAAACCTTTGATATTTTTAAACTGTTCTTTTATTCTAAAATAATTCAAGATTTGAAATATCTAGGGTCTACGACATTGGATTGCAAAGATATAGAGATTAAAAATCAGAGTTGGTGGCAAAGACTCAATTCCTTTATTTAAGTGTAATATCAACTTATTAAGTTTAATCTCAAAGCTCTGCCTTTTAAGTATAATTCTTAAGTTAAATCTCTTTTGTTTGAGTTTCTGGTTTGATCTCTAGTTCTCGTTCAATCTCTAGTTCTTTATTAATCTCAAGTTCAGGTTAAATCACTAGTTAAACTTTAATCTCCAGTTTAAGTTTAAGATCTAGTTTAGTTTAATCTCTAGTTCTAGTTTAATCCCTAGGACTGGTTTAATCTCTAGTTCTGGTTTAATCTTTAGTTCAAGTTTAGTCTCTAGTTCAAGTTTAATCTCTAGCTCTGGCTTAATCTCTAGTTCTAAATTTTTCTTAAGTTTCGGTTAAATCTCTATTTCTAGTTTAATCTCTTTTTCTAGTTTAATCTCTAGTGCTAAATTTATCTTAAATTTCGGTTTAATCTCTTAAGTTTTGGTTTCATCTCTAGTTCTAGTACTTCTAGTTTTAGTTGATATTCGTCTAAGAACGAGAAAAGTTTCTGATTTCTTTGTTTGGTTTAGATGCATAACTCCGAGATATCCAAGAGGTTGGGAGCAGACTGGAAGCTTCTCACGGACCTGGATAAGAGACCGTTCATCGACGAAGCCAAGAGACTCAGGTGACACATGTAAAGGGAGGGATATGGTGAGCTCGGGTGTAAACTTAAAGTTCGACTCCGCACTGGGTAGCCTGACTCACTTCAGTTTCAGTAGAAGTAAATATTTACATTTACTGTTTAACGCCGATCAAAGGATTTATCTCTAATTGGATAATGAGATAGATAGAAAGATAGATGTTACCGCCTTGCAATTTCTATTGGTTCAGAATAGACAACAAACACATGACTGAACCCTGATTGGATCAGGCGCTAATTGAATCGGCATACTAAAGTGCGTACAGTGCGACGGACTGCATATGTAAATACAGTATTGTGTTGCTTTAGACTGGGGTGCTGTTAAGAACTGGTCGACTTCGAGAGTTTATTTTTCTGTAGCCCTGAATATATTAACATTTCAAAGTATAGTTTTTGCCTTTAGGTTTGCAGAAGTATTTGGTTTAATCCTTCAAGATTGCGCGTCAGAATATTTTTCAGTGTATTTGGTTTAATCCCGCAAGAAAACAATGGAATGAGAAGACGACATTATAGTAATACTGTAATACTGTATTTGATTTACTAGACACTTTAATCACTAATTTAGTGAAATGGGACTGTTAACACTGCACAATTGCTGTGTCTCATGCACATTGGACTTTTTAAAATTACAAATTGATTCTAAAAGTCGTCTTCCTATTTTAGAATTTTATGGTTATCACTCTAGTTCTCAGTGAAAGAGCTTGACTTGATCGGAGGTCAAAACTTTTGTATTTTAAATCCGTTAATCTTAGCTAATCTCCGTTACTCTTGGGGATACAGAATAATTCAATTTTTACATCAATCATATATCAGATATCAAAAATTGAAATGTAGCAATTAAAGTTAATTTCAATTCAAGATAAATTGTTTATTTTATTGCACCCCAAGATTTCATTAAGATCTGGCAATAATTGAAAGATATAAAAGCCAGAAAACATTTTCTTAAAAATCTGGAAAATCATAAAAGTATATTTATATCGTAGTTTGTAAATTTGCTTCTGTTCAGGAGGGTTTGACTAAGATTTGCAGATTACCCAGCGCTTTTAAAAAGTTTTTCCTGAGTATTGAAAAGCATTAAAGTTTTGTTTCTTGTATTCCTTCAATTGCTTAAAGTACTCATTCCCCACAAAAGAACATCTTGTTGGGCCTTTGATTCATTGATTGTTTTTTTAGAGCCCTGCATATGAGAGAACACCCGGATTACAAGTATAGACCAAGAAGGAAACCAAAACCAATGATGAAGAAGGAATTAAATAGATATCCTTTCCCCTTTCCCTTCCTACACGGATTGGATCCCATCTCTAGACAGCTGATCAGCTCCTACTCTCTAGCTAACCCGGAGCGAGGGAAGGAACCCTTCTCCTCCCACCTGGATTTATCTTCCTTCAAGCTTGGTCAGTCAGAAGAGAATTATCATTTTGGGATGATTATGAAATCTCAATCCTTTCTGACCAACTCCACTCTCTCCTCCTTCTCCTCTCCACCATACTCCATCTCTTCAACCCTGACCAGAACTTCTCCTCTCTCCAGCTCCTCCTCCCTAGCAGCCTCCATAGCCTCCAGGGCCTCCAGGTTCCAGGACAGGCTGGATGTAGATGAAAAAGATCCTCTGATCACGAACCAACTTCACAGAGATTCTCCGAGCCACCCAGATTCCACAACTAGTCCAGCTCCACCTTCAAGTCCAACCTTCAAAACTTCAATTCATTCTCCTCCCTCCTCCCCTCCTTCCAGCCTACCCCCTTCATCCTCTCCACCCCCTTCCCATCTTTCCCAACCTCCTACATCCCTTTCATCCTTCCCTCCTCCTCCTATCCCCTACTATCCTCCTTGGTATCTGCATCATCTTTTCCCTTCTTATATTTTTCATCCTCCTCCTCTTATCCCTCTTCCATCCCCTCCCTCCCATATTCCTCTTACATCCCCTCCCTCCCATATTCCTCTTACATCCCCTCCCTCCCATATTCCTCTTACATCTCGTCCTTCCCATATTCCTCTTTCATCTCCTTCTCATCTTTCTCTTCCTTCTCCACCATCTCATTTATCTCTTTCCTCTCAAACCCAACACTCGTTATCCTCTCCCTCCCGACATTTATCTCTCTCCTCTCCGTCCCATCTACTCCGTCCCGTCCCAACCTTGCCCCGATCTGTGACGGATTTGTCTAGGTTTAAAGCTTGTCTCCCCGGGGAGAAGTTTATGAATCAGTGATATATAAAACTTGAAAAACCAGCAGGAAGCCTTAGAAGACATGTATTAGGTTAGTCATCGAACCCAACCTGAGGATTTCCATCATATCCTATAACCTAACCCAATGGTAAGATATACATATCTAGTAAAGTAATCTAACCTAAAGATATCGATATCAAAGGATATCCAATTACATCAAGTCAAACTAGGAAAAACTAACCAAACTACGAGATTTCCAACAGTCCAACCTCAGAGATATTCAGCACTCTACCCTAAATATATTTTATCCAACCTAGAAATATCCAGAAGTTTTACCCAACCAAGAGGTATCTAGAAATCTTACCCAGCCCAGAGGTATCAAGCAGTCTTACCCAACCTAGAGATATCCAACACCTTAACCAACCAAGAGATATTTGGAAGTCTTACCAAACCAAGAGATAACCAGCTGTCTTACGTACCCCGGAGATAACTAGCTGACTCACCAAGCTTAGAGATATCCACTAATCTTACCCAACCTAAAGAGAACTTTCTGTCTTACCAAACCTAGAGATATCCAACTGTTTTACCCGACCTAGAGATATTTGGCAGTCAAACCTCACCCAACTGTTATCCCGAACCCTTACACAACCTGGAGATAACCAACAGTTCCACCAAACCTAGTAAAATTCAGCACCTTACCAAACCTGGAGATTTCCAGCACCCTACCCAACCTTGAGATGTTTGGCAGTCTTACCAAACCTGGAGATATCCAGCACTCTGACCCAACCTGGAGATAACTAGCTACCTTACCAAACTTAGAGATATCCAGCACCTAACCCAACCTGGAAATATCTAGGACTTTTGTCTTACCGGGAGATATCCAATAGCATGTTTAGCCTAGAGATATTATTTAGCAGCATACCCAACTTAGAGATAATTAGTATTCTTACCCCCCCAAAAAACTGGATATATCCTACAGAGCCGGAACTAGAGATATAAGATATTTTATATGGATTTAGATACAGAAATACCAAGTATATTCTCCTCAGTATGTTTTGCTATCTGGAGAATAAACAATTTAACCCAACCTAACCCAACCTAAAGTTTGTTACAAAGTGAAATTTTGCGCTAGTAAATGTAATAAAGATGATTTTTTAAACAAGTGATATAAAAGTGTATAAAAAATAAATATTTATTTTATAAAAGCATTTAAATAAAACATCATGACAACAATTTGCCAGCAAATGTATTCTTTTTTTAAAATTCTTATAATTTAAAAACATCATTGTTATTATTTCTAATCTAATTAATTTTTAAGAGAATACTTTTCCTTCTGTATTTTATTTAGTCTAAAATTGCTCTATGTTAATCTTTCATGCAATAAAAACTAAACAAACAATTCATAAAATTATATTTTTTGTTTAGGAAAAGGTGAAGAAATCATAAAATTACATAAACATGGGTCTTTAATGTTTTGCAAACCGATCTATGGGAAACTGACCAAAAGGGGTTTTGACCAAATTTTCGAGGATTTTCTAATTGAATTTACTCCTTTAACTTCTTCTTTCTAAATTCATCAAACCCAAATGCGCTAAATCGGGATTGGGTCAGAATACCCATAGGTCCGTTTACAATAAACATTAATCTTCAAGGGACCGTTCACTTATTTGGGTAATTTCGGGGTAAACTAAATTTGAAGAGAACCGAATAGAAAGCGGTATTCCCATCCCGCTCCGAAAGTCTTAAAAATAAACTATTTCGAATTACTCATAAATGCATCACTGCAAGTAAGATGTATATTTTATTAACATCGAACGCAGAGTTGAATCTAGGAACCGAAATTGTCTGATGATTAATTGATTGTCGTTATAGAGAGCGTCGTCTTTATATATACATTTTACATGTTTTAATACGATAAACGTAAATTATTATCAAAAGTTTTTATATTTTTAACCAATAAAATGGCAGATCTATACTGAATCGCCTGTTTGATAATATTTCATTTTGTATTGTACCCACATCGCGGGAGTTTAAATTACTTTGAACTTTTTTCGGAAATGTATTCATCTTAATAAGACTAATCCAGTCAATCTTACAATTTAATGGAAATGAAAATTGTAAGAAATTGATTCTTTGCCACTAATTCAAACTTTCTAATCACTATTTCTTTGCAACCTAATGGTGTAAACCGTTGATATTTTAAACTTAGATTATTTGGTATAGCAGAATTAATATTTTAAAATGTCCAAGCTCTACAACATTAAGTTCTAAAAGAAAACAGGTTTAGAAATTAGAATTTGTGACAATGTCTCAATTCTGATATTATCTCTTTTCTAAGTGTAGAAGGCAAAACAAAACAAAAACAATTTAGTTGTTTACTGCAGTCAGAACTTTTAAATTATAAATTTTGGAATTAAGCATTGATCTTCAAGTTATGCAGACCAAGGAATTACATTAATTCCGCTTCGATATCCCATGGATGGTCACTGGTCAGGTCCCCAGATTAGATATCCCGTGGATGGTCACTGGTCAGGTCCCAGGATTAGATATCCCGTGGATGGTCACTGGTCAGGTCCCCAGATTAGATATCCCGCAGATGGTCAGGTCCTCAGATTAGATATCCCGTGGATGGTCACTGGTCAGGTCCCAGGATTAGATATCCCGTGGATGGTCACTGGTCAGGTCCCCAGATTAGATATCCCGCAGATGGTCAGGTCCTCAGATTAGATATCCCGTAGATGGTCAGGTTCCCAAATTAAAAATCCCGTGGATGGTCAGGTCCCCTGATTAGATATTCCATAGATGGTGAGGTCCCCAGATTAGATATCCCGTAGATGGTCAGGTCCCCAGATTAGATATCCCGTAGATGGTCAGGTCCCCAGATTAGATATCCTGTAGATGATCAGGTCCCCAGATTAGCTATCCCGTAGATGGTCAGGTCCCCAGATAGATATCCCGTAGATGGTCAGGTCCCCAGATTAGATATCCCGTGGAAGGTCAGGTCCCCAGATTAGATATCCCGTGGATGGTCAGGTCCCTAGATTAGATATCCCGTGGATGGTCAGGTCCCTAGATTAGATATCCCGTGGATGGTTTGGTCCCCAGATTAGATATCCCGTGGATGGTCAGGTCCCCAGATTAGATATCCCGTGGATGGTCACTGGTCTGGTCCCCAGATTAGATATCCCGTAGATGGTCAATGGTCAGGTCCCCAGATTAGATATCCCGTGGATGGTCAGGGCCCCGCATTAGATATCCCGTGGATGGTCACTGGGCAGGTCCCCAGATTAGATATCCCTTGGATGGTCACTGGTCAGGTCCCCAGATTAGATATCCCGTTGATGGTCACTGGTCAGGTCCCCAGATTAGATATCCCTTGGATGGTCACTGGTCAGGTCCCCAGATTAGATATCCCGTAGATGCTCAGGTCCCCAGATTAGATATCCCGTGGCTGGAACTTAAAATACATACAGTCAAAATCAGAAAGTCACAGTTAATCAGGTGATTTTATATATATATATCTGGCAATTTTAAATGATCCAAAAAGTTAGACCACATTTTGGAAATGGCAGAACTAGGAACTATTTTGTGTTTATCGTTTCATCAATCATATTTGTAAAATTAGATTGTAAAGTCTTCTGATTCATTGTTAATTAATTCTGGGTCTTTCTGATTAGCACCATGTATGTAATTGGATTTTGTAATGCAAGTTTTATAAAAAACTGTATTTTTTAATTACATTTAAGAGTGTTTTATCTAGTGAATATACTTGATTACATAATACATATGCTTTCTGATCAACTAGAAAAGGGGTTCAGTTGATAAGAATTAATATATAATTAATTAACTATATACATTGTTTCATTATTAAGTCATTAACGTTTAAAGTTACCGCAATGTAATAAAAAGTCCAAACTTTAATCCCAATAATTCTAGATTAGTTCAATATTTAATCCTCTAGTAATAAGCTACTTTATAGACCTTAAACTTACTACGTACACTACAGTATAATTTTAACATCTAACCCTATCCAAGCCGACACTTAACAGGAACGACATACTTGCCACAAACTCTAATTTTCTAATCATATAATCTTTGCAAAATAGCACTCTTTAGTCTATAGTTATTCGTTGACCTTTGGCTTTTCAAAAATTAATTCTGAAAGATCAAAAAGTCTTAGTTTAAAATATTTTAGGTTTACACGATCAGGTTGCACAGATTAATGAAATAAAAAATTTGATTTTGAGGCAAGTGTTCAGTTCCTTTTCCACTCGCGGTCGTTTCTAAATTTCTTTATACATCAATATGTAATAAATATTTAAATGAATATTCATGTTCAACAAACAAATATTATAAGACGTACTTCATAAATAAAAATGGAAAAACTTTCTAAATAATACAAAAAACAAGATTATTCAAAACCAGAGTATCGCACAGAGTTTATGTGTAGTAAATGCCTACTTCATAACAAGTCCTCGAAACGTATCTATCCAGGTACAACCCATCCGCTATGATCCACACAGCTACAATCCCGTGAACTATCAACGCTACTACCACTGGGCGCGCTCTCGTTAGCTATCGGTGTCAATACGGAAACCTATTTATTAATCGAGCTCTAACTGACGCACAGGGATTCAAGTGTAGCTATCAAACAAGCTATTAATCGAGCTCTAAATGGCACACAGGGACACAAGCGTATCTATCAAATAAGCTCTTAATCGATCTATACCAAATACTGAGGTATGATCTCAGCCCGTATGTTTCAACAAGGACACAGTTAGCTATCAAACAAGCTTGTAATCGATCTGTACCAAATACAGAGGTACAATCTCAGTCCGCATGTTTCAATAAAGACGTAATTACACTGTAATCAAAGTGGAGTTTTATACTAACTAAGGTATATTTCTTCAGTTCAGATTAGAACTGGGTCCATAACAGAGTAATTACAAGTTATACGCTGTTACATATAAAGTAGTAAAGCAATCACAATATGGGTATGAAGGAGTTATATATATTTACATACATTGAATGGGTTAATCGTAATACATAATTTACGTATTTAATAATGGGCACATTTATCTATATGGACAATGTACAACGTCTTTTTCTATGGGCTTTATATTTTCTACATATGTACTGTGTACACTCTTACAGATGATGTTCTACATTGTACAGAATGCTGTACAAATTATGCTGCACAATTTACAGTTTACCGTTCAAATTATTCTGTACTTTATGACGCGTATTGTACAGATTATGCTGTACACTGTACAAGGTCCTCCTTATACGGATTAAATGACTGGTACTTGAACTGGGCAGGTTGAGATGAGCGGAACTAACCATGGTTCAGAATATTCATGTTTCTTCCTCTAATCTTTACTCACTCTTAGTTCCAACCCATTCGTCAAATATTTCAAATTCTTTCCACGAAAATAAAGATATTAGAATGAACTAGACAGGACAGCAAGACTATGGTGCGTACCAATCAACTGCTTATTTAACTTCAAATATATGTACACGAGGTTTCCTGAATTTTGAAACGGGGGTACGATTCTTTAACTAAGAATATATTATATACAGGGTGTCCCACATCATATTTAGATCGTTTAAAAATTTAAGGGACAAATCAGAAAATTTAAAAAGAACGAATCATATGAAATAATATATAAACATTTTCTTGCAGAAAATATCAGGTTTTTTGAGTATTTTTGCGTTAAAGTTTGGAGATAATTCAATATGATATGAGATGCTCTGAAGTATAGATAGACAACTAATTGCAAAATGATCAAAACTTGTATTTTGTGAATCTCGGGATCAAGCATTGATCTCTTTTTTATGCAGATCTATAGATTAATTTAATTCCACTTCGATAGCCCACAGAGGTCGTACCCCCTGACCAAGCAGGGATAACGATAATAATGGATCAAGCATTTATCCTCAAATTGAAAAGTGTCCACATTGGATTTCGAGATCAAGCGTTTAAGATAAGGGTTACTCAACATAAAGTTTACACCCTGGACAGCAAATGTCAAGAATAAAACCACATTTTGTGACGGGATTTAGCCTCAATAGTCTCAAAAGTCCTCCTTAATATTTGACTATCCTAATACGTCACATTAGAACGGAAACATCCTAAGTTCAATTACTGGTATGTGGAGTGAATGAATAATGAAAAAAGCAGTTAAGATTTTTTAATGAATAAATTATAACCAGATAAAACGAGTTTGATTTTTTCAGGATTTGAGAAAGTATATATATACTTAAGAGGGTGCGCAGA